AATTGGGCAGGGCACAAAGGGGGCACTGCATGATATAGGGGGTGGCATGGGCCCCCTAGTGATGCCACTGGTGCGCATTTACATATATTTGAGCATTTGGTTGTATTTATATATATATTGTTGGATGTATGTACTTGTTTATACTTGTACATATACACTATTTGTGTATATGTATATGTACATCTGTGTGAGTGTGAGTATGTGGATGTGTCGGTGTATGCTGGATATAGACCTTCATGCATATCCTGTAACTCCTGGATGGGAATTCATGCATTCTTAATATAAGTAATTATTTTTTATTTTATTTTTCACTCACCCTTCTAGCACCATCTTCTGCACTCTTTGTTTAATTTTTTTTCTCTGTGATCTTCACACAGCATATTTACGACCCTCTGCAAGAATGAGGCTTTAACCTCTGTATCACAACTCAACTTTGAATTCTATGTGTCGTCTTACTCAGAAATGCTTTAGACTTGAGAAAGGGAGGTTCTCCCGAAAACTTGTCCTTAAAAAATCATGTTAGTCCAATAAAAAAGGTATTACAAGATACAAATTGTATCTGTTTTTTACATATATATATATATATATATATATATATATACACACACACACACATCACACACACATACATTTCCTCACGATGTTCGGTATCATATAGTGTCATTAGTTTATAATAATGAAATATACACATCACACATACATTTCCTCACGATGTTAGGTATCATATCGTGTCATAAGTTTATAATAAAGAAATATAAAGAAACAGAAAAACGAATAAATACCTATAGTGTTGTGCTATGCCTATAACTATCTACCAAAATATAGACGTATATGTATATATATTTATTTATACATGTAAGCAGGTATCAGCACTCTTGTGTATTTAAAAGTCCAAAATTTATTGTTGTAAGGTTTAAAAACGATCAACATTTCAGTCCTGCATAGAGGACTTTCATCAGGATCAAAGTATATTTATTTATATAAAAAATTGTGGAGATATAGGAAGGAACGCTATACCTTATATGTATCTTTAAAATGGGTATGTCGTAGCAAGTGTATAGTTCCTAAAAATATAAACACAAAAACCGTCCCATAGTGCAAAACTGTAAAATACAGGTATACAAAAGGTACAAGAGATTATTCCCACTGACAATATATAGAGCCAGAGAGTTATGGCTCAGTTCTTGCGTTTTAAGGGTCCGTAGAGGCGACCCTCTCCCTTCTTTATGGACTTCTCTTCTTTTAATCCTCCATCTAGGGCATAGAACATATATAGTGCAGTACCTTCGGTTTAATATCTTGTAGGATTTATTTGGATCCAGCTGAGGAAGCCATTACGGCGAAACGCGTTCTGGAAACATTGGGAAATAGAGACTTAATCACTATTGGCATAGTATTTTTTATTAGCTTTTTCCTGCTATAAGAAAGAAGGAGTGTGGTCCTTAACCACATATGCTGTCACATTGAGCCTAATTGGAGGGCTCAGGGTTTGTGAGTACCCAATGTAAATTTTTTAAGTTTACAAGATATTAAACCGAAACTTATGACACTGGGGATACAAAGCAGCCCTGGAAAATTTTTTTGTGCCAGCCCCATAAGTCACTGCGCCATATATTGTCACGTGTAATATGTAAGGCTATGTCTTGCCATGACAGATGATTGAGTAATATATATATATATATATATATATATATATATATATATATATATATTGCTTTTTCTAATATAAAATATTGGTCCTTTCAGGGTAAAATGTTTAATTATACAGTAAGCATACTCACATGCAGACACAGGCAATTTCACTGACATCTCAATGACACACACTGACATCTCATTGATACACAGCCTCATGGACAAACAATCTCACTAATATACATCAGCTCATTGACATAAAAACACAAGCTCACTCACTAGCAGGCACACACATGCAAGCAAGCTCACTCACTAGCAGACGCATGCACACACAGCTTAATGTGGTGGTACTGGTGTCTATAGCATGTCCCTACAGGCTTTTCAACGTAAACACTGACTTTTCAGAGAAAAGGCAGTGTTTACATTGCTTCAAAGTGACACTGCTAGTGACAGTCACTCAGACGGTCACTAGAGGGGCTTCCTGTGTTAGTGCACCTACATTCAGGGCCTCCACACTCTGTAGGTGCTGAATGTTCCCCATAGAGATACATTGATTCAATGCATCTCTATGAAGAGATGCTGATTGGAGTGGCGTTTTGCAGCCAATCCTATGGCAAAGCATTGGGTTGGCTGAGATCATCAAGCTTGATGATCTCAACTATAGAGGCAGGGCCAGTGCTGCGTGGGGAAAAAAAAGTGAGCAAAAACACTATTTTTAAACACACATATACACCATGACAGTCACAGAAACACACATATACCATGACAGATACACACCCCATGACAGACACACACACACCATGACAGACCATGACACAGACAGACCCACACACACACACACCATGACACAGACAGACACACATACCAGAAGACCTCCCCTGCGGCCTCCACAAGACTCGGGTGTCTGTCCGGCCCTGCACTATATGATACCTAACATCGTGTGGAAATGTATGTGTGTGTGTGTGTGTCATGTGGCTTGTAAGTTCTAGTGTCTGAATGCTGAGGACTCCGAGGAGGCTTGGGCAGGCTTTGTGGGCATGTGTTGAGTGATGCAAATTGCATCACAAAGCTCCAGCATGCTCAGTGAGACATTTCATTATTGATTCTAATAGAGAATCACTGGAGCGTGGCCATTGGTGGACAGACATTGTGGGTGTATCACTACTGATAATGATAGAGAATCACTGGAGCATGGCCATTGGTGGACAGTCCAGCTGAAATACTGGAAGTTGGGAAAAAGCAAAGGGGAAACGGTATGCAATCAGAGGAGGAACAGAAATTCTTATCAAAGTAAAGATTAAAAAAAGTACTTTAAAAGCTTCAAGAAAGAATATATCTATATACAAAGAAACTAATTCAGAAGCCCGAAATAAAATAAAGGGCTGGTGGATTAGTTCCAAAATTGCCTACTGTCGATCTCTCAGAAAAATAGGGAATAACCCACAAATATATGTATAAAAAGATATGTGGACTTGGAGAAAGTCCTAGGTGAAATAGAGGAGGCCCTACCTTTATTGATTCTAAGGAGTAAGAAGAAAAATAATCAGTGAAACTGTCTAAGGGAGAGACAAAATACGACTCAGGATGACAGTAGCAAATGGGTCCCACAGCACAGCACCTTAAGTGTCAAAAAATCGGCAAAAATATAGGAACCACAATGTAGCATATCCCTGGCGTAGATACAAGAGGTGAGGGAATAAAGATGAGGATAGTGGGACTGAACCCCAGTAACAGAAAACAGAACCTTAATATAGCTTTCCCTATAATACCTCAGTACCGTGGGCTAACTACTAGCGCTTACCTGAACCATTCTCCCTGCCTGAATTTAAAATCAAAAGCAATATAAAAAATTAGTGCATACAAGAAAAAACATGCTACCAAGTGCAGTGCAAAAACAAATAGCTTGATGCGCGTTTCAGCAACATGCCGAAACGCTCCTTATGACGGCGTGCTGACACGCCAAACCGCTCATGACGACGGCGTGCTGACACTGCTCCTGACGACGGCATACTGACACACATGGTAACCGTGGATGCCCTTTCCAAAAGACTGCACAGCTTTATTTATTTATTGCTTTACAATTCAGAAGCCGTGCGGTCTTTTGAAAGGGGCATCAGTTACCATGGTGACACACAACTCTGTACGCTGTCAATGGGACACATTGGAATACAGTGAGTAATCTAATTGTTTAATTGTTTGTGCTATATAAAGGTTTATTATTATGATGTACATTGTCTTGAGAAACATTCACGGCATAATTCTATGCCTACAGTCACCTGACATGTAAATCCGTTCCTGGAGAGGTGGTGAAGATTAAACTGCATTCCTTACCTTAGGTATTTCAGACTGGTTCTACTGTTGAAGCAGAAGTACGATCTTGTCATAAGTGTGAAAAAGAATTTATTTTGCTAAAATAAATTATTTTACTTCTTGTGGGTAATCATTTTTAAACTGTTTTGTGGTTTGATATGTTTAATGAAATGTCTGTTACTTTGCTATTTATAAATACTCTTAAGCATGAAGTCAATCTGTGTTTTTATGTATGGGTTCTCTGCATATTTGGGTTATAATCCTTCAAAAAAGATTATCCATGTAATTTTTTTTATGTTGAATGAAGTGCTGTTTGATATACTGCTTAATACTATGAAGACCTTTAAAGGAACACTCTGAGCCGTGAGCACCAGCAAAGCTTAAATAAACACTTCTGACATCATAGCCACTACAGCATATAGAGTTTTGGTGGTTTAAAGTACCACCTGTACATTTATTAAAGTAATATTTGGATTTCTACTTTTTATGACAAAGGCCATACTGCATTACAAAACCTATGTAGGATAAATAAGGAATGAAGGTTGCTATTTGCTAAATACAAATATCCAGCGGGTCATTCTTCTTTTTAATAACCCCTCCATGTTGATCTAAGACAGTACAGAAACATGGTTCTTTAATCATTCCAAATCTAGTTAATGATAGCTTTAACCCAGAGCTTGCAACATTGCTATCCACATTTGGATTCATAACAAATAAGGGAAATTCCTCAAGAAATCTCTTACTGTAATGCCCAATATCAATGATCATACTAGGAAATCCACTGTAAACATCTATTCCTAATGCTATAGTGATAACTTTCTAGGTGGCGGGACCCTCTCCTATGCATTAAGAAAATTTATTTCACTCACACCTTTTATTCCTCGTCACAACGGTGTTCAAGCTGGTGTCCCTCCTCCATGTCTGGGGTCATCAATCTGATGCGCTCAGCCAATCAAATGCCTCTCCATAGGGAAGCATTGGAAAACTAGTGTGCATATGTGGCAAATCACCACGCTGCACCAATCAGCATCTCTGAGAAAGTAAATTTAGTCTAAGGCAAAGGTTAGGTTTTTTTTTTTTTTTACAGTAAATACAATAAGGATGTGGAATTCTCTGTTCGAAGACGTGATTTTATAAGAGTATGTACAAAAGTTTAAATAGTGGATGAATACTTTCAAAAAACATAAATTCCAGGGCTGTAATTTTTAATATGTGGGTAATCGCTTCTTGATCCAAGGAGAGATCTGATGACTGCCATTCTGCAGTGCATGTCTGATGCATGTCTCTTTTCAGCCTATGTAACTATGCAATACATCTCTACGGTGAGTAGTCAACTGCTCCATGCACAAGAGTTTGGAGACGCTGAACATAGGGCCTGCAAAAATTGTCTTGGAAATCCCTCTAATGGCTGTCCACACAATCACGAATACAACATCTCTACCAGTCCTGTGGAGAAGGTTTAGGTCACCATCTCTTATGTGAAATGGGGAGTTGATCTAATATGTAGGTATGCTGCATTAAGTAGGTCTTGACATTTGATGTTCCAGCTTACAGCACTCTCACTTACTTACTTTTTCTCCTGTATTTCAAACTTATCTAGAGAAACAAAGAAACTGAAGAAAAAAATAAAAGGAATGTCCATGTGATATGCCATCATTACACGTTTTATTCGATCTAGGTTGGGTACTCCTTTATTCAGGAAAGATCTACAATTATTGGACAAGGTAGCTTCAACCCATATGCTAAAGTCTTGGAAATTAAAAAAAAACTACCCCATTTTCAGCATCTCCCTCCCAGTCTCCCTCCCTTCCCAATCCCCATTATATCTTTGGTGCACTTTCTTTGCTTTGTGACGATATCTTTTCACTGGTGCTCAGTAGATTCAGTACTCTATCCACTGCAAAGATTTTGGTACATGAACTCTTGAAAACCACTGATTAGGCTTCAGTGTTACAGGTATTAGCAACTTAGTCATCCCCACCGCAGATGGACAGCAGGGCTTTGCGGTAGTCCCCAGAGGTTTCACTCTGTAAAACAGAATAATAAATAGTGAATCCAGTTATTTTCATCTATCCATCCATATCACCCATTCTTATATCAATGCATGGCTTAGAGTCGAAATGTTTAGTGATAGTATTGTTTCTTCGTCCCTGGCTCATAAGCATTCCACAAGTTTTAGTTCCGTGTTGGAAAGTTCTGCAACGCTAAAGTTTGGAAGAAGAAAAACACGCTAAATATGCCACTGTGCAGTATCTACATATCAGAAAGAAGCTTTAGAAAAATCAAAAACTTGCCCTCGATATGGCAGTTCTAAAGTTCTAAAAGATTATTTTTGCAATTTTACAGGAATGTTGTGCCTGCTTAACAAAACTATCCTATTCACCCTCTCTGTAGTCAAGAAGATCCTTGACCTACAGTGAATTCTATTTAACAGAGATTTAAAACGTATCCCTTTGATTATACTGGTAAGCTCTTAGTTTTAACATATATGTGTTCTTTAACATAGTAAGTGAAAGATATAATTATTTTATATATATTATGCATACATATAGGACCTACAAAACACTAACCAGTTTCCTGGAGAAAAAGCCATTCATTCTGTTCACTCTGCATGAGTTTTTGCGTGAGGTGTATATTTACTTTTTTCATTGAACAAAGTCAGAGAGAACTTTTGCTCAATTTAGTGGTTGTTTATGGATACAGATACTACTTTTTTAACTTGCTACTTTTCTTATATTTAACTTTTTCGGTGCAGACTCTTTCCATTTCTAGTGTCCTCACAGGTTTGGTGAATGTAAGTAAAAAGAGAACTAATATTTAGTCACACATATGTTTATTTTGTCACCCCACACCCACAAAATGGTCCTATAAGAAACAACCTCAGCTTTGATGCTCACCTCAATACAATGATGCAGAGACTTCTCGTACATAGTCTTAAACTCATGACGTATGTTCAATAAGTCAGTTTCACTCCTGGAAATCAAAATCCTGTTGAGTGTCCTTTCATCTGTACCAGCCCCCTGGAAAAATAAATTTCATTTGAATTTAGCAGTGGAACACAATCAGTACTGAAAGTACTAATATAGTGCTAGTACTAAATACTGCACAAACTTACAGGGTTATTCACTAAGGTAGAAAATTGATGATATACTTGCTGTAATTTCCTTTTCTTGGTTATGTTACATGGCAGCATCACATAAGGGCAGCTCGTCTCTAGCCTGAGAGATGATAAATTAATCAATTAACTATGGATAGCCCCCCACCCCCCTACTCTCTGAGCTCCTCAGTATGTTAGAAAGCTGTATACAAATCAACCCCGAAGGGAGGGAGCGTGATGTTACCATGTAACATAGCCAGGAAAAGGAAATTACAGCAAGTATGTAATTCATTTTCTGCTTTTCTGGCTAAACATGGCAGCATCCGTTATGGGTACTACCCACACTCCACAGAACTGAGTGAAAAGAAACACCAGAGATTTATATGATGCAAAGAAACTTTATTAGTCACGAAAAACCACCAAGGCCAGAATACCTTTTCCAAAATCAGATCTAGTTTATAGTACTTGGCAAAACTGAGGTCTGAGGACCAGCATCTTTGTCCTAGAAACCCAGAAAAGTGCCAATCCTCTTGTAAATGTATCCACTTTGGAAAATGTGTCCACTACAGTTTGTAGTCTTGAAAGTTGCTTCCCCTTTGCGTATCTCAGAAGTAAAGATGAAAAGGGACACAGTTGCTAGCTTGGTATCTATTAGGACATATCATGGATCTTGCTGGTTGTAACATACTCTTCTCAATGTTGATCAGCCATATGAACAGCTGAAGAGTCTGTAGCACGTCCTGAGCATGAATAACAGTAGTCTTGGGATGTTGTGCTACTATCAAGATGTCATCCAGAAAATGGGATTTGGATGCCTCTTATTCTGAGAACTGCCACTATGGTAATCAAAACTTTGGGGAAGGTTCTAGGAGCCAGACTAAGGCCAAAGGGCATTCACTGGAATTGGAAATGCTTCTCCATCAGAAACCGTTGGTGAGCAGGATGGATGGCAATTTGCTAATAGGCATCCTTCAAATCTATCGATGTGAGCCAATCCTCTTGATAAATAACTTGCTGGATAGACAATATGGACTCCGTCTTGAAATACAACCTTCTTAGAATTGAATTTACTTTTCTTTCTTGACTAAGATAATTTATATTTTCCGTGTGGTTTGGAGGCCAAACTACATTTGAATAGAAGCCTCTGAATCTTCTTTCATAGGATGGCCTGTTGCTGACTTGTAACCTTTGAAAATGTAACCTGGTGAAAATGTACAGTGTAGATATTCTTGCAACTTCCTTCTGTAACCTTATGTAATGAGGCTTAGAACCCATTGGTCTGTGATGCATTTGGCCCAGACTGAAGAATTATTTTTAGAAGGCCCCAACTATCCTCGTCTGGGCCAGCAAACCTTCAAAAATTCTTGGATGCTAGCCCTTGCCCCTTGGGCTTCTATAATAAAAGTAAAAGTATTCTGGCTTCAGTAATAAAATCTGAGGCTAACTTTAAGTCTTTGAGTGAGTCTTGGTGTCTCTACCAAATCCACTATCAATGCCTTGTTTCAGATTTTCGAGGTTAGAACCACTACATGATGAAGACCAGACCCACAAGCCAGATATGCTTTTCTCAGGTCTGAGTTCAATCTTTTCTCCATAGGCTCCATCACGTATGTCACTCTGTCAATATGTAGAATAGCTTTCTTTGCCAATCTCGTGACTGCACCATCTACCTTAGGAACTGCACCCCATCGTTTAGACTCCTTTGTGTCACGACAGTGACCCCTTCACACAGAGTGAAACCCAGAGGAAGACGTTTACTGGACCTTAGAGTGGCCGGACTTGCGTCTGGGATTTGAGCCTTTTCTATCATAATTTTCAGGGTCTATCTGACCAAGTTTATTAATTTATCCATAGTTGTGGATAAATTAATCTGATTCCTGAAGAAACTGCATCTCCAGATTTTCATTCTGCTACGTCTTCCAAACATTGGAAACATAGGTCCTATCCTTCAGGGGCTTTAGAACAACAGCCTGAGCAGTAATTAGACTATTGTTTCTTTTTTCTTGGAGGAACGTCTTGTGATAATCTGGGGCTGACAGGGCTTATGTTAGAAAACATTTAAACCGTCACTGCACTTTTGTTTCCCCAAATGCATTCACTCTCAATTTTCTACTTTATTCTTGAGGTTAAAAAAAAGTTAGGTATATATTCTAATAGTCCAACATGACAGCTATAATACACAGGGACAAATACAACCAAAAGGAAATAAAAAGTACTTATAACATATTATGTGCTTTGGACCTTTGTACTGTATGCCGAAAGTAAAAAAAAAAAAAAGTATTTTCAAACTGCTTGATGCATATTTCAGCACTTACACATAAACGGTATAATTTTACTTTTATTTTTGTGTTACAAGTGTCATTGCCGGGTCGGTGCTCCCAGCTGTGATAAGGTGAGCAGTGTTTTGAAGGATATGTGTTTCATATTTATTTATATCCATGGATTCATTTTCCATTTGTTTATATTTATCCCTGTTGCCTGGTAATGATCTTTTAAATATGGTTAAACTAATCTTTCATACTCATTTTTAAAAGTATATCTCTTTTTAGAAAATGATGGTGTAATTGTTGTGAAAGGACTGGATGATTGCTTAAATGCAAGAGTAGGTGCATGCAAAATGATATTCAACTTTGAAACAAGTATTAAATTAAATGACCGAGACATTGTTTAAAATCATTGGCCCTTTCCAGGAGGCTACAAATGTATGCTCTGCAGTAAATGGACTCAAACAAATCTCTGTGTTTTCCCATGACTGTGTGTAGAGGAAAGAATAGAACCAATACAATCTTTCATAAAATGCATGGATGATAAAGTCAAAATCAGAAAGCTATAAACATCCCATTATGGTTTAGCATTCATTAAAGGGACACTATAGTCACCAAAACAACTTTAGCTTAATGAAGCAGTTTTGGTGTATAGATCATGTACTTGCAGTCTCAGTGCTCAATTCTCTGTCATTTAGGAGTTAAATCACTTTGTTTATGAACCCTAGTCACACTTCCCTGCATGTGACTTGCACAGCCTTCCTAAACACTACCTGTAAAGAGTCATCTAATGTTTATCCTTCCTTTATTGCAAGTTCTGTTTAATTTAGAGTTTCTTGTCCCCTGCTATGCTAATAGCCTGCTAGACACTGCAAGAGCCTCCTGTATGTGATTAAAGTTCAATTCTCAGAGAAAGAGATACAATTGTTTAAGGTAATTTACATCTGATTAAAAGTGAAACCATTTTTTTTTTCATGCAGGCTGTGTCAATCAGAGTCAAGGGAGGTGTGACAAGGGCTGCATAAACAGAAACAAAGTGATTTAACTCCTAAATGGCAGTGAATTAAGCAGTGAAACCTGGGAAGCATAATCTATACACTAAACCTGCTCCATTAAGCTAAACTTGTTTAGGTGACTATAGTGTCCCTTTAAAGTATGACAAAATATTAATCTTACCTTCATCGCTTTCTTGAGTTGTTCTGCAAAGAAGGCTGGCTTATTTTTCACACTGCGCACTAGAGAATTAAAATAAATTAGAAAATCAGCAATGCAAAAAGACATAAAATATTTCTGTCTTAAAGACTTAGGGCTCACAATCCTTGTCTTGTTTCTGTCTGATAATCGCTGACCTTCAGCCAGTACTGTATGTTAACTTAAAGGAAAATTATAGAATTAGAAATATGAAACTGTATTCCTAATGCTACGACATCCTCAACTTACGTACCCCCACCCTCCCACCTGGCTTTGAAAAGGTTAAAACCCTTTTTTACACTTACCTGTTTCCACCTCTGAGATTGCTCGGCACTGGATAAGGATCTGGATTTAGTGCATAATTTACATCTGTCACTAGCGTGTTCAGCATGCTACTGACAGATGTAACAGCTTCTCCCTTGTAGGCAGAGCTCCTGCAAGGGAGAAGCTCTTGTCTCCTCTTCCTCCCACATTATTTGTACCCTCCAGCTTCCCTATCCCCGTGCTGATATATATTTTTATCCCACCCTCACTCCTACTCTTTTACCTCCCTCCCACTCTTCCTTTCCCTCTCCCCTTGCGGGATCAGAGCGTAGGGTATACATTAATTTGCTGAAAAGTGTTGTCAGTTGTTTATTAAATTATTTAGAACTGTAGAATTTAATAATGATAATGGCTCTAATAAAATGTATGTTGATTGATTGCAATCTCTTCACTGCTTCACCGCTTAAGGAATAGGGACATTTTTTGTTAAATCCGAAATACCAAGGCCTCACATGACTATTGGGCATTTAATGAGACAAACAAACCTTTGTACATTGAGATATTATAATTACCAAAACATATATAGATGCATCTAAGAACTGTGTTGAGAACTCACCTATAGCTACAAAAGCACTCTTTACATCTCCTGACATTTCTTTCTTTATGGTGTGTTCCACATCATGGTTTGTCTGCTTAATAAACTCCTGGAAAACTAACAAGACAGAATTGGAAAGATATATAAGTACTAAAGAGCAATGCAGAGTGACCAACAAAGACAAGTCCAAATAAAGAGAAAAAAACTATAAACTAAACAAACTATATTAAATGAGAGAGAAGGTATGTGGACAACTTTACTGAAAAATAACTATCTCTATGATCTGCAGCTCAAACAATCTAATGACTTATGGTTACATTTGGAGAATCTACTGTTGATCATTTTCACTCCTATTCTATAGGAACTAGAACCTCCTTAGTCAAATGTACTTATAATATAGAGCAATATCCTCTGTATATCTTTTCCCTCATTTGTATTCCAGTGTTTTAAGGTTATTTTATCTTTTTAATAATATATATTAAATGTTATATTTTATGTGGCAATTTTATTATGGATGTGTTTTAATTAGGATAGATTATGCGCTTTCATTTTTAGTTGTTGAAAGGCTGCAATATGTATTTGCAAGATCCCACACATGGGTAGATCTGGTGTCCATTAGTTATACCCGGGCAGATTTGGCCTGCGTTTGCTTCAGGGCCTTTAAAAATATTTGGAGTTGGAGTTGGTTGCTGTGGCAGGGGCAGAAAGTCCCAGTGAGTGCAGGAACATGTCAGCTTCAGATGCAGATGTCAGTCTAAAGCATCCGCCATCTTTTTCAGCTATAAGGGGTCACGGATGTCCCCAGTTGTAGGTGATGGCGGCTGACCGTAGCTGTGAAGTCATCCCCTTCAGTGATGTGCACCACTGCAGCTTTGGGCAACTCAGGTCTTGGAAAAAACTTAAAGAGTGTTCCTCAAAGATATAAGGTGTTGAGCCCCTGATTGCGTTCAGTAGTGTGTCTTTAACAGACCTGGATTTGAAGATGACATCTTTGGGTGTCAGGGCGTTGGCATTGGGCCTTCCCGGGATTCTGTAGAGTCCATCTAAAGATAGTTCCTGTGCCTGTTTAGGTGGTAAGCAGCCTCCGAATGAATTGCGGAAGTTCTGCTGAGTCAATGGTGTCAGGTATGCCCCACACCTTCAGGTTATGTTGTCGCGTGTTGTCCTCTATGCACGTGTTGATAACCTCCAGTAGTTTCTCCACTGTTGAATCATGTTTAATCCGTATGTCATGGATATCTTCCTCTGTGGCTTTGATGAGTCCCGTCAGCGTGCCCAAGTCTTCCCTCAGCACCGCCATCTCTGAGGCAAAGAAGGCTTTGAGGTCTGTCACCATGGAGGTAAGATCTGTTTTGAAAAACAGGGGAGGTTCGGGTCTTGGTTATACCCTGCTGCTGCGGCAAGGGGATGGTGCTTCCGACAGTTCGAGGTCCTCGTCCTCAGAGGCCGAGAGGAAGTCTTGTGGTGATTCAGACCATAACTCCGCCATATTGGCCCTACATGGCTGCGATAGAAGCATGCAAATATCTCGGGTTTGGCTCTCGATATGCCCTTGGAATTTTCGGGAGTGCTTTCCCATGGTGTATTGTTTGCCTTTGAGGTGTTTGCAAGGGCCCAGGTGCGTGAAAAATCAGCTTTAAAGCGAAGTTTAGCAGGACCTGAGGCAACATGCATCTAGTCTGATCGTTGGTTAGCTCCCCCCCACTTTGGTGCTAATTTTAAGAGCTTACATGGAGCTGGGTGTTGGCACCCAGGAAATCCGCCAAGATAAGTGGTCTTCTGTTCTTATATCTTTCTTATAGGTAACTGACATATATGGTTGTTAGCTAAAAAGCCAAATAAGACCTATTTAAACAAAGACTCCAAAATCTACTTGAATGTAAAAATATTTTTCCTCCTTTGAAATTTTCTAATTGTCAATAACATTACCAACATGCTATTTAGTTTTCTATTGCGTATAGAACCTGATATCAGCTGAAGCCTTCTAGAGTGTTGAAGATTGCATGAGTAGAAGAATATTAGTAGGCTTATTTGTAATGGAGGCCAGGCCATTGAATCCACCCAATGGATTACATTAGGTGAATCACCAGTTTCACATGTAGAGAATATGCAGTAAAAGTTTAATAATAATAATAACAATGAAGAAACAGGAGAGTCTCATGCATAGATCTTCAGAAGGGTGGTGACTGACCTCTTCTTAGATGTGGATAGCTACGAGTGCACAGGATGGTCATAAAGCGTGTTTCCAAGGAGCTAGCATCACCTGATCCAGAATCAGACACTTCCTACACAAAATGATTTATTCAAAACAATGGTTACATCAATATCACACACAAAAAAATGAATATTTAAAAAAAGAATAATGCATATAAGAGTAATGACAATCAAAACACATAGCATGCTAAACCCCAGATTAACCATGATTTTTTATAGGTTGTAATATATGGATTTATAGAAAAGCTCTCATGACACAGAGAGTATAATTGACATGGACATTTACTCACCAAGACTGAAGCAAGAACCTATAGGCAGAATGAAAAGAAAAAGGGTAAGGTTAATACACAAATTTCAATTAACTGCTTCAAGACATGGTTAAGCTAATTCTGTGTTCCTCAACCATACTGACATGTCACTGACATTTAACAATGTAATCATTTTCAACAATATGATTTGCAAAAATGTGGGTTTTTGATTATTCTTATTGGGGTAAATGGAACAGTTTTATAGAAGTTATATAAAGAACTCAACTGCATCTATAACAAAGTAGCATTAAAGAGACACTACAGACACCTGGACAAAATTGATACATTTAAAGGTGATTTTTGTGTGTGTGTGTGACCATTTTATACAAATGAATGTATTGTGATCTCACCTTGGCATCCTCACTTGCTTTATCCAAATCCTCATTATTTTCATCTCGGTTACCCTAACAGGAGACAGATATACTTTGTAAATAAATAGTCCCACTCCACGTTGTCCTATTGTTTCACAATGGCAGCATGTTTGCAAATGTATTGACAGTGAATTTAAAATATATCATTGGTACTCAAACATTTCAGATAATCCTCTCATCTTGGCAATCTTGTAATTTATCATTTAAACACATATAGGCATCTATAGCTCCTTATTGATTTATGGAAATACACATTTATGAGTTCATTGCACAGCATTATTATTTCATTATTGGCAAATGACATAGTACATTTATTTATTCAGTGCTAGGTAGCTCCTCCTATAGGTTGAAAAAAAGTATAACAATGCAGGAGGTGAACATATAAATAGAAGATTCACTTCACCTCTGCTGGCAACAACCTCATACTTTCTAGAGGTGGCTGCTAGACATCTTACTGATGGATGTCCATTAGCCAGCAGGCTCTTTCCCTTCATGGAGTTTTTTTTTATTTTTTTCATACTTCCTTTAACAGCTCCATTTTATTAGAGACCAGGAGCCCAACTATGTGAGCTAGAGTATGATAAGTGGGAGAAGAAACTATAAGTGCAACTAAAGGCACAGCTCTGTGGCTACTTCACCAGGTAGAGATTTGTAAAAATGGGGTTAATAGTATAGATTTCTAGTACTGCAATTTCTGTTTGTGGTGTTTTTCTCAGAGAATGATCTACTTTCTTTGATATGGCTATATCATTCTTTATCATGTCTAGAACATGGTTTGGAAATACATGGTAAGTGGACTACCAACCGATGACAGTGATACAAGGATACGTTTGAAATGTCCGGATGTGTCAGATCGTACAGCATCTTCCAGGGACTTATGATAAGCTGTTTGGAAAGAGGAAGACAAACAATGTTAAAGGGACATTTTACAGGATTGTGGTATATTTTATTGTCATAGGTAAAACTATGGGATTTGTTGTTGCTTACTCAGCTATAACAATGGAAGACAAAAACTTTGACCAATACGTGTAACAAAAAAGAAAAACATTTTAGCTTAAAAAAAAAATCAAACTATATTATAGTCTATCTGTATTATAGATATTCTTAGAAATCTTCTGTAATTTTATTCAATAATAATAATAATTGTAGACCAGTGATTGTTTTGTATTGAGCACTAATTCCTTGTGTATTGTAGATTATTATGATGTACATATATAAATCCATAGAAGCAGCTGCACTATATATATATCACACACACAGATAGTGTCTCCCTCTTTCTACCTCTTATAGTGGGATGAGTATCTTGGTCTTTATGCTCATAGGGCCTGAAGACACTCTGACCTGCTGCCCAGAAAGCAGTCAATCAGATCTAGACATGCACTAAACACTGCTGAAGCACACATGCACGGGCTTAAATGCGAAGTGTGTTCATTGGGAGGATGGATGGTAAATTGTGTGTTACACGGGGTGACTGTGTACCTTGGCTGATGATCATGCAATATAAAACATACGTAATAGTGAAGTTTGCGTTAGGGAAAAATATTGTTTGATAATGGTTTAAGATGTACCTTAATTTCCAATAATACACAATCTACTGTTACAATCTTTTATATTATATATTTCTTTTTTATATGAACATTGATTTATTAAAAAGGATGCTGTTTCACATAATTTTTATATTAAATTTACATTACATTATTTTAACATACACAGAGAATTTCAAACTTTAGGTCAAAATAGCCAAATTGCTTCCAGTGTAGCTACTTGGATATAAAATTTGAAATACGCTTTGAATTCACTTAGCATTCTTACTTTAGAGAATGAACTGGAAGATCAGCCACTTAGGCTGATGAAATTAATCTTGAATTCACTTTGAATTGTTGCTTTAGTAAAGATACCTGAATAATCCACGATTTGCCTTTATTTTATTAGGGGGAGATCATGTTTCTAAATTGTATTTCATCGTCTTACCTTCCTGATAAGCCTGATTTATGGCATGGATCTCTGCATTTGTTCTTGTGGCCAAGATTTCAACGAGGGCATTTTCATCCGTTCCTGCTCCCTGTAAGTACAAAGAATGTAATCACTGTCTGGGTGATGTTTGGTTGTAGTAAGGGATCTATGGGTTTTAGCTGAATATTTACAAGGGAAGGAGACTAGCTTGTGATTTTAATCATCTTGTTAAAGTCACAGATCACCAATATTTTTAATGAAAGATTTTTAGCATTTGAAAGTTGTACCATTTTATAGTCACTGCTTCAACAGACTATATAGGAAACACAAAAATGTCACTGTGTTATTCATTTGCAATATGTAACGTCCCTAACTGTATGCAGTGGGCCTTTAAAAGCAATGGTTGTTATTGGAATACAACATTCAAGCCATGTGTTCAGTGCAACCCAACCTCTCTACAAAAAGAGAATGTTTTCTTAAAGGAACACTCCAAGCACCATAATCCCTTAATGTATATAGTGAGAGTGTTTGCAAATGGATTGACTTTTTACCTAAACTCTGCCAGACACTAGTCACATCCTGCCAAGCAGGGTTTACCTCCATGCAAAGCGCTCTTAGCGAGGAGGTGACCGGTGTTTGGCGGAGGATCTCAGGTATGAAGTTAAATCATTATAATTGGGGGCATCATTCAGAAAATAAATAAAATAAAACAGCAGAGAAAAATTCTGAATGGCATGGGAAGATACAGTGAAGATTACATTAAACCATATTCAATGGTAAAAGATCGATGATCCAACTCAGCACTGTGCAATCACCTGGAAAATTCCAAGAGTCAGCCTATAAGCTTCTTTCCATCAAGTTTAATATAATTTAACATTTAGTATTTAAACATCGAATTTTGCTCCAAAGCTTTGCCTTCACAGACCTGCTCAAACAAATAATGCAAACAAATGTAGAGAGCTCAGCTGTGAGAAGAGATGTACAACTAAAAAGGTAAATTTATATAAACATTGAGAAAATGATGTCACTTTCTAACTGGTTACAAGAAAGATAGTTTCTCTGCATGCTTTTAGGTTATTGTTTTTCTCCTGTTAAATTTCTCATGCATTAAATAGCTCAACTAATTCACATTTTTAGCAAAACATGTAGTTACATTTTTAACATTTGCTTCTTGCAGTAGAGAGTAATGCATCATATTATTCAGGGTCTTTGTTAATCTATATTACTATGTAACTATGTAACAATACAGAAGATTTATGAAAAACACTGAAGCAAAGTTGTGAAAATAAGAAAAAAAGAAATACCACAATGGCTTTGTTTATCTGTTTGGCATCAAACTGGGCAGGAGTTAGCATAAGACCGAGGATCACTTTGCCCACAGTACCAGAAAGTTCTGATTTCAGATCTGCCATAAGGTCCTACAGAATAAGACAAAAGATTACAATTATTTGATTTCTGCCGATTCACGCTATAGTTAATAGTTAATAGAGAATACAAATTTAAACTCATGCTATTGTCAGCCCGAGTGAAACTACAGCAATTGTCTGGATACATTTGATGTCCTGATTAAAATCACGGCTTTGCATCCAAATCCTATACAAAGTATAGGATTCTGAAGATTTACAAAGCATTGATATTGATAAATAAATTCCAGCAGGATATTAACAAATTGTCGTTTACTTGCTTTTATGCAAGCGAACACTAATTTGAAGTATTATTGGCCAACTGACAGTGCTAGCACCCAGTGGGCAAATAGTTAAATCGCCCTCAGGATTATAATGGTTAACCATGTGGTGGTTGGCCAGCTCTTCTTAGACAGCCATCCAATTTAAATAGTAAATATTGACCCCCATATTACTACAACAGAGGTTTAAAACCTCCCAATGCCCCCACCTACCATGCAGGAGGTGGGGCATATCTGCTAAACTTTTAGAACTAGCGACTGAGAAGCCTTTGTTTGCACAGTTGCTAGAAATGCAGCTTCCCATGGCAATAAGGCCTATGAAATACTTGAAGGAACATACTCCTTCCTTCCCCCGTGTATGAATATTCTCTCAAGACTTGACTGTAAGAGTGCTCTGATTTGGCTGACATACAATCTAACCAATCAGAGCTCTCTTACTGATTTTAAATAGCATGGGACATTTAGCCATGTGATTCAATAAGCTGACAAAAAATTGGAAATTCTTTATAAGGGCTTTCCCGCTATGATAGCTCAATCTGTTGAGCCTTCTTGGGTGGAAGACAGATTGATTTTATTGTTTTGCATTTTTAATTATTTTTTGTCTTTTGTTAAAATAATGTTGTTTTTTAAAATGTGTCTGGAATTCTAAATTTGAATTTGGTCTTTTTTGGTGCTGAAGAATTAGAAGAAAGAAGACTTCTGATGGGAAGTATATTTTTTTGTTTAACAGGTATTAGTTTTAATGGCCTAACACACTAATATGAGGGAAGGTAGGTTCCTACATCTTTAAAGGATGGTGGTTTGGGAATTGGGGGCAGGCCCTACCCACCCAGGATGGGGGACATGCCCCTATGGGGTGGACACTATAGGAAACACAATAGCATGTCCACCCATTGTTTTATTATTTAGAACCCACAAACACTGACCACTGTCCTATCCCCCACCTGCCATTAATGGGTAGAGATGGGGATAGGACACTGTGTCTTCCCTTGAGGAGAACACTAGGTCCTCCCCACTTTAATATTATTGCTAAGATCCCCAGCCCCTAGCCATGGGAGTGGGCAGAGGGTGGACAGTGATCAGTCCACCACTCATAATTTTTTTAACGTCCACCAACTAACTGATACCCACGGGACGAATCACAGTTCTTTCACAAGCCCCACTCCCATGAGGCTTTTTTACTGATTGGGCAGCAATGGCTGCCCAGTTCTGTTTTATTTTTTTTTAGTTTAGCAGATATGCCCACACCTGCTGCATTGAAAGCAGGGGGGATAGGAAGGAGAAATAATTTCCTGAAAGTAATATGGGATTCTTATTGACCCCCATAGGACTTTTATATTGATTTATTTTACTTTTTTTAATGTGCCGGCTGCTAGCAAATAGTTTAGTTTTTTTAAAGCCTCTGGGCCTGGAGTTAAAACATATGGTCTGACTTTTAGCAGTTTGAAATTTGCTGTCTGCTGGATCTGGTCTGGATGAAATTCAGGCCTGGTCAGGGTTTGAATTGCAAAATCTGGACATAGTTGAATAACGGGAATAATGTCTGGACTTTACAGTCCACATGACCTCATATGGAGCTGGATGGTTTTTTCCCATCTAGTATGGAGCCATATGGACTTTAGTGAATAACCCTGTAAAATATAATATTCCACACAAGATAAGTCCAAGTTACACTATACAACCTGTTATTTTGATGAATTACATTTAACCTATCTGTACAATTGCATTTTCCACCATCAATGAGAGATTAAAAAACTTGGTTCCATCTACCCTATATGTCATAAATGGCTTAGCTGCCCTTCCATAATAAAACTATCATGTTTTAATTAATCACATTTGTATTTAATACTGGGACTTCTACAAAAATACTTACTCGCCCAAAATGGGACTTAAAAGCCTTCAATATTTCTTGCCTTTGGTCATTAGTGCGCTTGGTAATTATATCAATAATGGCATCTTCATCGGTACCTGTAATCAATAAAATTCATTATATAAAACAACATTATCATATTACATGATCACCACTGAAATGACAGAGCAAAAAGCATGCACATCCAGAAGTATTTTATTTTAAAATGGAGAATGTTGGTCACTTGATCAGCACCATCATCGGGATGGTTTACTTCAGTCTTTTTGGTCTCATACAAAGATGCTGAGGCGAAGCACTAAAACATGCATTGGGCGTTATGGCATTTCCAGTATTTAGGATGCTTTCAGGTAGCAATTATCAATTTTGTATGGTTTTTGTTTTGTTATGTTTAGGCATTAGGTTTGGTAGTCATGTATAGGAGTTTGGAAAAAAGAAAAAGTGGTGTTGTAGATAAGTGAAGATGTCTCTCTCAGTCACTAAGAAATGCTAGCTGTTTTGGTATTTTCAGTCACTATGAGAAGTCTGTGATTGGTCTACGAGCGACCTCTGTGACATCAAGGGAGGTGTGGAAGTCAGCGCAAAAGCTTTGCTTAGTGCTGGATTCCAGGTAAACTTTTTTTTTACAGATTTGCAGGGGGAAACCTTTTCCATAGTGTCCAGTAGGGCATTTTACAGTGGAAAGGCCCCCACCTCATAATGGTTGGAGTAATCCTTTAAATGGACAATATAGTCAGCAGAACCACTGCAGCTTAATGTAGTAGTTATGGTGTCTATATACTGAATTATATTATATTTTCAATGTAAATGCTGCCTTTTCAGAAATAAGGCAGTGTTTGTATTGCTGCATACTAACATCTCTAATGGCAGCCCCTCAGACAGCCACTAGAGGTCCTTACGAGTTCAGTTCTGCAATGTATGCAGTGTCTTCACGCTCTGCATGGAGAAGCTGAACACTCCCTACAGAGATTTGCATTGGGAAGAGAATACCGAAGACACCATCTAGTAATTTACCATAGATCATTGACCAGATAATTGAAAAACAGATCAGGGGACGTTGGTGCAACACCAAGCTGGACAGACACTAATCTAGCATGCACCTGTAAACTTGCTGATTTTAAAATCAATTCTGACTTGTACTGTACACCTATCTAACTTGTCTAACTTGTCAAGCAGTTTGCACTGTGTTACTCCACAACTGAATGTTATATATGCCTTTCACAACTAAAACCTCATCTTCAATCCTGGAGAAGGAAACAGCATATCCCTTCCTGGGTTGGTTGGAGTTATCCTGGTCCCCTCCATGACAGCTCAGCTGTATTTCACATGTTATGTTTTTTTATGGCGCAGATAGAATGAATGATATAATTTCCTATGTTTGCTGCCATTTCCGATCAATGAGAAGCTATCTGTCAGGATTACTGTTTGATCCAGCACGTAGAACTGTACAGCACGGATGACAAATAAGTAACGTATTACCGGTCCTTAGAATGGCCGGATTTAACGTACAAAGAATAGTCAAAAATACTAGCGAGGTCAGGGAACACAGAAAGGGACACAGCGATGAGGAAAGCCAGGAGTCAGGATACCAGAATATAGAGAAGTCAATAAACAAAGCCAAAGTAAAAAACCAGGTAGAAAACTATAAACAGGAACGCGCTCTCAGACAACCACAAGGGAAACCACGACAGGGCACTGAGCAGGCTGAGAACTGGGCCTAAATACCCTCCTTTAGTTCTGATAGGCTGTAACCGGCCTTTGACCCCAAAGTCAGTTACCAGGTTTCATTTGCATAATTGCTGCTCAGCATTAACCCTTCTGTGGATTAGGTTGCTGCTCGGCACAACTTTTCCTGTGTGGACAGTAAATGTAATTAACCACTTTTCTATAAGCGGATGAATACATGACACCAGGTTTCATTTGCACAATTACTGCTCAGCATTAAACCTTCAGTGGATTAGGTTGCTGCTCGGCACAACTTTTCCTGTGTGGACAGTAAATGTCATTAACCACATTTCTATAAGCGGATGAATACGTGACATTATCAGATCGTCCTAGGGTTTTTACTCTTGGGAGTTTCCCATTCCTCATCAGCCGTTTAAGGTGAATCGGACAGTATCTGTAAACTGGATATTGGGTGACTATATTTGTTTACTACCTGCAAATCAACACACCATTTATAGCTATTTTATTTTTTTCTCTATTTCCCATTTTGATAGTCCCTGTTTTGCTCTACGTGGAGCCTGCAAAAAAGGAGTTGCACTTGTTTTGTCTGTCAATGCTTACTACTTACAGCATTTGATTTTTTATTTTGTTGATTTTTATGGTGTTATATGCTAATGCCACAATTTAAATAAAGATTAAGCAAAAAAAAGAATAGGTCACTGAGACAATTTTGCATTGTTCATGCTAATGTTATGTGCCTAATGTGCGTAATTTGAGTCCTTATTAAAATTAGTTACCATTGGCAAGAAAAGTTGGTTGATACCTTTGGACATGTGTAGTTATCGCATACTTTGGAAACCAGATAACTTTAAAGGACCACTATAGGCACCCAGACCACTTCAGCTCAATTAAGTGGTCTGGGTGCAGGGCCCCCTAGTTTTAACTCCGCAGCTGAAAACATAGCAGTTACACTGCAGGGTTAATCCAGCCTCTAGTGGCTGTCTCCCTGATAACCACTAGAGACAACTTCTGCAATTTACATGGAGTTAATCGCACTTATTTGACGCTGGACGTCCTCATGGAATCCAGCTTCAAAAAAGATCCCCATAAGAAAGCATTGAGTAATGCTTTCCTATGGGCGGGTTTGAATGCGTGCGAGTGCCTCTGGCCCCGCATGCGCATTTGGCTCCACTCTGGAGCTGACGTCGATGGAGGAGGAGAGGTCACCAGTGCCGAGGGAGCTGGATTAAGGTAAGCAAATAAATGGTTAATTAATTAAACAGTGACTAGGGCTCTATTGGATTAGGAACACATATTTGTATTCCTAACGCTATAGTGTTCCTTTAACAGTTTAAGACAATGAGTCTGGCTCATTGTACACGAGCATGCCATCTTACTTAATGCTAGTCACTTTTGCTACCGTGTCCTGCTGACTCGTGTAGGAAAAAAGTATTGCTAGTTAGCTTTCCCGTAGAGCTGTCATTAAGGGGCACTTTCAGCACCATAAATGCTACGGACTATTGTAGTGGATATAAGCTGTCAATGCAAATTCCTCTACAATCTACACTTACATCTCTTTAACGTGATATTGGAATGAGAAATCAGAGAGATCCAAGTAAACATTTTCCTAAATTGTGTTCTATATAACATCAGTTCTGAAGCATAGTTGTTACATTGCATATGTCCTCTGGTGATTGCTCCACAGTTAGAACTTTAACCTAGAATTTAATTCTCTTTAAATTACCCTCATCGTTCTTGCTAAAACATAATTATCATATTATAGAGCTTCAACAGCAAATCTTACCAAATCCTTTCATTGCTTTCCTCAGAGCCTTGCCGTCATTGTCTGCATTGAAATCATCTGCTGGGTATACTGTTCCTTTCACCTGGAGGGAGGTAGATTGAGAGTTATTAGTAACCTTAACATCTAGACAGTTTTCTTATTTTAAAGAATTATTTCACTTTTTGTGATCTTTGCCATTTAACCTTTTTAGATGTGTGCAACAGGTGCAGTATATTTTCCCATTTAAATGGTAAATTAGATTATTATCCTGGATGAATAGCTTCAGACACTTAAATTGTAATGACTATTTACAATACTTTGTACACTTGATTAATCTTTCAGACATCCCAAGCTTTATGACCTGATTAAAAGAAATGTAGAACGCTGTGCTGTTGTATGAGAATGTATATGGAATGTTTGTTGAGCACTGCCATTTTACACTTCCAGTTTCCTAGCATTCAGGACCTTGACAATGACTACATGCTATATCTTAGGGCCTTGTGTATTCACTGAAGCTTGCCTTCTATTGTGTTGTGGGTGTATAAACCTGCATGGGGCTTCGAACTGGGACTTTAACTAACAAATCTCCCCTAGTCTTGCATCTTTTAAGAAGTGCCTTAAAACCCATCTCTTTAGGAATGCATATGGCCTCCAAGACTAATCTCTACCTCACATACCTGTCTCTTGCTCTCTCCTAAAGGGCAGCCCACCTTATTTGACTGCAAATTCCTGTCCTAATGTGTTTTACACCCCACCTCCTATAGAAGGAAAGCTTGACGAGCAGGGTCCTCTTCAACCTATTGTTCCCGTAAGTTTTTTGTAATTGTCCTATTTAGTTAAATCTCCCCTCTCATAATATTGTAAAGCGCTACGGAATCTGTTGGCGCTATATAAATGGCAATAATAATAATCAATTTATGCATAGTTCTGGAGTTTATATACAAGTTATTTTTACGTGCTTCTTACATCTCTCAATAATGATATTTCCTTATGGTTATTTATGGCATTAGGCAAAAACATAAATGTAAAACAAACAGTAGGCCATGATCATCTTTTTTGGGAAGCATTATTATGTTACTCGTAGTCCCACAGAAATTGGGAGGCACCTATCAATTGTCCTAGCTTTAGGAAAGTAACCAGTAAAACCCCAGCCATGGAAAATCTGAAAAGAATTTGATATGTAAATACTGAATTTATTCTGAATCCACTTATAGGGGCCATATAATACTGGAGTAATTACAATATCAGCAAAATCAAATACCTTGATAACAGAGGTAAAATTAAAGATAATTAGCCAGGGCCGGATTTTCCACATAGTAAACTAGAGAACTTCCTGTAGTTTTGTTATTTTTAGACAAAAGGACCAGGACAACTATCTAAACCCTACTTCCACCCTTCTTTCTGCTATTGTCTAATGTCATCACGAATGTGCCCTTAAAGACCTTATTATTAACTTTCATATCCATAGATGGAGTTGAGATGTAAATCCGGCCCTGTAATTAATCGCTAGCATTGATTAAACAGAATAAGGATGCATTGGAAAGTTAGCAAGAAAGCCAAACCAAACCAGCAAAAAGTTACCGGTGATATCGCATGAGTAAGGAGCGTGTTAGCAGCCACACCACATCTAGTGAAAACCAGGAAACTATTATTAGCGTGTTAATTACAAAGCATAAATTACTAAAAATCAGCAAGCAAGCAGCAGACGTAGGATAGCTGGTATTGGCCAGTTTATAGTGACCACTGGGGTAAAAAGCAGGAGGAGCGGGGAGGGGAGAGATTATGGTTTCTGTTCCAACCTCAACATGTCTTGAAGCGCTATGCTCCCACATCTGATAAGCTGCTTGGGCTGCTTCTGGGAAATACTCCCCAGCGGCACTAAAAAGGAAAGGAACAGCTGGTCTGTGATAAGTGCTAGAGTTTGAGGAGGTCAGGCATCAAAGACGGAGCACACTGTAGATCAGTTGATTTTCTGGATCTAGTATATATTATTGTTATACAACATACCTTTTACTCATAAGAGACAATATGAACACATTGTGTATCACTTGATATATTTATTTTTTGTTTTCCAATAGAAACCCCAATTTCCATACACCACCATGCTACCACCATGATGTTTAGGCTGCCTTTTAAATTAATTCTTTTTAGCTACATTGCGAGGTATAACCTATTTCTGTGCATGCGGTCAAACATAACTTACTGTACTTCAGCTGCATATTTCCTTAATATGAAATTAGCACAAGAAGGCCACGATAAGGCAGTAAAGAGTTGTCATTTATAAAACGTTACATTAGACTAGCCCTCTAGTGTAAATTAGATAGATAGATAGATATACTAGTTAATTATATATTTTTGTTTGGCTTACTTTTTTGTCTATTGTGCGACTGTATATCTTTACATTGCTACCCAAACTCTCAAGTCGGAGATAGAAAGACAAGAAAGAATATATTACCAGACCTTAGAAATGCCAGATTTAACGTATAAAGAGAAATAGTGAAAATGGAAATTCTAGCCAAGATAACAGAAATACAGGAGAATTATTTAACTAATCAGGTCCGGAGTACAGAGGTCAACAAGAGTCAGGTTAGGATTACAGAGGTCAACAAGATCAAATAACAAGCCAAAGTCAATATACCGGAAAATCAGAAAATACTATAACACACTGCACGAGCAATTATTTTATTTAAATACTGAGGTGTGTTTTATTGGTCCACGTCACCCCCATGAAGCTAAAAGGTGCAGTAACGAAGTTGTACTGTTGACGCAAATCTTTTGTAGCCATAAATGATGCTAGACATCTTATTAGCATAAGTAGAGTGGTACTGCTAGTGTGGTGCATTTGGAAGGCAGAGAGACTGGAAGAAAACCAGAATCACAGCCTCCGTATCAGCACACGCAAATATGCTGATCATCGAGTCAATTTGGTAGCTCCTGTGAAAATATCTGGATTACAGGTACTGAATAAATCCAGCATTTGTCAGTTGTGTAACAAGTGGACAAAAAATATGGCCCAGAATGGGAAATTTGACAGATTTGATTTTTATATTATAATTGAAGATGTCCTGACACATGCTACCACTCTGTAATGCCAGCCATGGATGTACATACTCATCATCCCCACCGCACAGGTTCAGAAGTGCCTTCTTATATTCCCCTGATGTATCATTCTGAAACACAAACACCAACATATTGTAAGACACATTTTCTAGCAATATTAATTTCTTAAATTAAATTGAGTTCTGACTAGATATATACAGTCATGTTATAGATTGGTGTGGAAATCTGAAAATATTACTGTAGTCTATATGTATGTTTGCACAAGGTTATAATGAAATGAAGATTCAGATTTTGAATGCCAAAGTATAAATCAAAAAGTTATGTGAAAGATTTTCTTTAACATATGCAGGTCACACACATTATTTTTCCTTCAGTAAGTCCTATATTGTTTTTGTAAAGGGAAGAATTATTTATCAAAAAGGGTGTATTCAGGTAGTGAGGGCTCCAACCATTGATGGTCTAGTGGGATGAACATCCTATACACTGATCTAATTTTTGCTAACTCTGACACTCTTCATTGTGTTACAGACTCAGTGTGCTAGAATTATAAATCAAGTTACCTTTTCAAGGGTTACCTGCTTGATGTTATTAGAATTTAAACAGAATTATGAAATTCATTGACAATCTGAAGATACCATGGGGATTTACCTTTATCATTGAGTACAGGGACTTTTCATATTGTGTCCTGAATGACTCCCTAATGTCCATCATGTCAACCTCACTGCGTGAAACCATAATCCGAATAAGAGTATTATCAGCTGTGCCCATGCCCTGAAACGAAATGATCAAAATGGTAAAAAAAATTGTAAATTTCTTAACATTTTTTAGGCACACAGATATCTTGTGTAAATAGGGACATTGCAATTTTAACTTCCAGTGCATGCATGTCTAATACAGACTGGAAATCACTTACCTTCATGGCTTTGTACAGTCTTGTGGCAAAATAGTCCTTTATGCTACGGACACATTTTACTAAAGAGAAAAACATAAATGCGATTATAATAATGTGCGGCAGCCAGGATAAAATAATTAATTCAATATTGAAATTGTCAAAATGGTAACACAGAAATATATTTGATGCTAATATGAAAGCCGACATCGTGTCTAGTCTGGTTCGGACTGGACCTAAATAGGAATCTCAGGCTAGGTAATTATTTATTTTTTATGCATTCAGACGCAGCACAGAGGGAAATCATGGTGCAGATAAAAGTCCATGAGGTCTTTACCTTTCCTCACATGGCAGACACCAAGTTGGAGTTTTAATTTAGCAGCTGACCAGTGGAAAGACCACATTGCTATTTGTAAATATTAGCAAGGTTGCTCACTAGAGGGTTAATTGAAAGAGCCAAAGGGGATATCAAATTTTAGGCTACAGTATTTAACTGAAAACATAGCTAGTATTAACACAACATGTGTGGCCTGAAGTGTTTAATTGACACACATACACAAAATCTATATATGAGACATTATCGATTCCGTTACTGATGTGTCTAGCCTTCAGTACTAACATTGTTAGGATGTGCATTAAACCCCCTCCCCCCCAAAAAAAAACCTTGCAAGTGGAAAATGTGTATCTGACAAAATAATAAAATAAGGAGATGAGAGTCAGGCAGTGGAACAGACTGGCACATAAAAAAAAAAAAAATTAGACAAAGAAAAATAGACTCCACTTTCCTATTAAATGATAAAAGCAAAATTGGGTTAATTGTCCTATCCAATGGTTCAAGTCCCAAAGTTACTTTTAAGATGCTTGGCATTTGTGTTTAAGTAACACTATGGTGTCAGGAACCCAAACATTTATTCCTGATATTGTAGCGCTAAAATAACTATTTAGGTTTCTGGACCCATCTAATTGCAGTAAAAAGAATACAGTAGACAAGTCATTGACAGGAGGGTGAAGAGAGTGAAAGAGTGACCACCTTACCTACAGCCAACATCAACTTCTCAAAGTCTCCAGAAAGTTCTCCCTTAATACTTTCTTCGATAGGTTTCCCGGCAATTTTCTCATACTCATCAAACACTGCATAAGTGGTGGGAAATTGCAACATTACATTAAACATAGCAGCTGCTGAACAATAAAAAACATTTTCTTATGTCACGTTCCTATTCAATTTTAATGGACATGAAATGTTAATGGAACCCTGACATTAAAAAGCTATCTTTTGCTCAGCATCAAACAGCTTCTTTGTATTATTCACATTTTATCATCTGAGATTTCATATCAGTTTGTCTGTGAGTAGACAGCAAATGGTTGGCATCCCTTACAGTGCCACTGTCAAAAAAATTAGACCTCCATTTTTTTTGCCATCTCGGTCCTTTTGATATCTGTTTTGCAATTTAGTTTCAAGGACCGAAACATTGGGGTTGTTTTGGTCTCCAAGCTCTAGGTCAGTCAAGGACCGAAACGTTGGGGTTGTTTTGGTCTCCAAGCTCTAGGTCAGTCAAGGCCCGAAACGTTGGGTTTGTTTTGGTCTCCAAGCTCTAGGTTAGTCAAGGACCGAAACGTTGGGGTTGTTTTGGTCTCCAAACTCTAGGTCAGTAAACCTTGTTTATATTTCATGGGTTTTTGGTAAAAGCACTTTATGTCTTAAGCACGCTATTAAATACCGTATATACTCGAGTATAAGCCGAGTTTTTCGGCACATTTTTTGTGCTGAAAAACCCCAACTCGGCTTATACTCGAGTCACTGTCTGTATTATGGCAATTTACATTAATTTACATTGCCATAATACAGACTGGGGGCTGGCAGCGAGCGCTTACCTCTCCTGCAGCTCCTGTCAGCTCCCTCCTCCTCCGCGCCGGTCCGGTCAGCACTTCGGTCAGCTCCCAGTGTAAGTCTCGCGAGAGCCGCGGGGTCATAGTGCGGCTCTCGCGAGACTTACAGTGTGAGCTGAGAGAGGAGCTGCACTGACCGGCGCGGAGGAGGAGAGAGCTGACAGGAGCTGCAGGAGAGGTAAGTAACAGCTCTGCCAGCCCACCTCCTACCCCCACTGAACTGCCAATGCCACTGGACCACCAGGGAAGGAGAGCCCCCCTCCCTGCCATGTATCAAGCAGGGAGGGGGGACGAAAAATAAATAAATAATTTATAAATAATAAAAATAATAATAAATAATAATATATAAATAATAATAAAAAAAAATTTTAAAAAATAATATAACAAAAAAAAATTAAAATATTAATTTTTTATTTTTTTTTATAAAAATGCCCACCCCCCCACCAAGGCTCTGCATCACACACACACTGCACTCATACACACACACACTGCATTCATACACACACCCTGCATTCATACACACACTGCATTCATACACACACACACTGCACTCATACACACACACTGCACTCATACACACACACTGCACTCATACACACACTGCGCACTCATACACACACTGCGCACTCATACACACACACTGCATTCATATACACACACTGCATTCATACACACACACTGCACTCATATACACACTGCATTTATACACACACTGCGCACTCATACACACACACTGCATTCATCATATACACACACTGTAAATAAATATTCAATTAATATAATATTTTTAGGATCTAATTTTATTTAGAAATTTACCAGTAGCTGCTGCATTTCCCACCCTAGTCTTATACTCGAGTCAATACGTTTTCCCAGTTTTTTTGGGGTAAAATTAGGGGTCTCGGCTTATATTCGGGTCGGCTTATACTCGAGTATATACGGTATGCACAATTGCACAATTGCACTTTTTCATTAAATATACATCTAAAGAAATAAAATAATCTTTGTACCAAAATATCTGGTGTGCTTGGGAATTATTTTCATTATATGATTGTTACGTACCTTGTGAGGGAACAGGTTTTTCCCTTTAAGCACCCTGTTTCTTTGTTTCTGCATGCCACATCAAAAATGACCCATATTGGTTGAGCTTTGACTTTAATATTTTGTTTGCAATTTAGTTTTTAACTCACAACCACTCACTATTTAATGAGAAACCCCCTATAGATTATTTATCTTAATTTGACTTAACTACATAGTGACGCATTAATAAAACAAAGTCTGACTTCCATTCACCTGCTCGTTAATTTATAATAGGAGGAAGGAGGAATACAGAAGCTCAGACCACTACGTCAGAAACTTAATTAATTGCATATAACTACAAGCATTAATCAAAATCCTGCCCGGATATTACAGTCACATTGCACTGAGAGTCTTTCCTGTGTGGACTATTGGCTTTTAAAGCTAATGACTAAAACACATGGCTTGATGTTCTCTTAAGTGCACATATGTTAGTGACAGGAAGCAAAAATTACTTTCTAATATCACTTTCGTTCCCCAGCTTTCATTGGATGGAAATTTTAAAATTCACTGTTGACACATTTTCAGACTTGTACGAACGGTTCTGACAAACCCCAGGAACACAGTAACTAATATAGTTTCTTCCGACACCTAACTGTTTGAGTGAAATGCATAAAGAGCTTTCTAATGTTGCAAGTTACTCTGACCTTACTTTTCACTCACCCTGTTGAGCCCTATAGATTCACATTTTCATAGATCTTACCTAAGCTAAATCCATATTCACTCTAGCTCCTTCCAACCTCTTGGCAATCTCATGTTCGTTAATGCACAATCGCTGATGAATGCTACTAAACATCCACAAATTACAATAAATGAAATCTTTTTTAAAAAAGAAGACTGGTTTTCTGTCATTACAAATCTGACAGAGTTTCCTTCTGTAGCGTTGATAAATATTATTTTATTTCGTGGCTTACTGGTACACCTCTGGTACCAAATGCACCATGCTACCCAACTTTCAGAATACTACAGATATGGCTACTGGTGTGCCCTTCTCAGACACAAATGATGTGTGTGGCATGCATTTTGGGTTGGACACATTTATTGAACATTAAACACTGCATATTCTGGTGGCAAACTTGCAGGATGTATACATCATAATCAGGTATGAATACCATATTTGCCAGCAATTTGCTATTACAGTGAAGACATCATAAGGGTTATGTATAAATAGTGTCATGTTCATTTATTCATGTTTTTTTTTGTGCTTTTCTCTTATTTGCAATAAAACAATCCATAGTGTGCCTTTTTCATTATTTCATCTTCCTGACCCACTTTGGTTCCTTTTTATTGCTTCCAATAGGTTTCAAAAATATGTGAAAAAATGTGCATTTACTACTAACACATTTCAGCTTTTACAATCTTCCTTTTTGCTTTATTCTATAAAAAAACCTTTTTTATTGCAGTCACATCTTTTTAATAAATGGTAAAATAGTAAGAAATTTGAAAAAGAAATAAAAAGTTGCGAAAATATGGAATGTTTTGGTTCACTACAGAAAGGCAGAAAAAAAAGCACCAATGTAGAAAAGTTTTATACATAAGAAATGGCGTGAGTGCACAAAAACTAAGCATATGTGATAGTAAATATATTATTTTCTTTTTTACGTAATCCCATATGTAGTTATCACAGGCCTTTAGTTTTCTGTGATCCACACTTTTTAGGGTATCAATAATAGGGCACTAGGGTCTCTATGAAACCAGAAACGTATGCTTACCTAGTTGAAGATGTGTCTTGCTCCTGCTTCCTAAAATATAGATGAATTGAGCCTCATCGGTTCCCCATTTCTGTTCTCCAGCGTCAAATAAATCCTGGATAAAGTTTTCAACAATGCATTGTTATAAAGAATGCAATTGGTTATGACATAATATTCTATAAAAATCTGAAACACACTCTAAAATTCAGAATGTATCATTATTAGCAGCATACCGTGAGTTTTTTTTTTGTCTATTTCTATAGGTTCATAAAAATCATTATAAAGGAACATGTATTCCTGACCCTATTATGGTAAAGTCACCATTTAGGTGGCCAGCTCCCCCTTGCCCCTCTTAAAAGTTAAAAAAACTCACCTTCATTTCAGAGCCGTGAAGGTCCGCTTGTGCTGATCCCACCTCTGATCCGCCTCCGATGGCTGACATTATCAGAGTTGATGATCTCATCAATTCTGATAATCTCAGCCAAGGAGGCAGGGCAGAGCAAATGCTGCACTGGCCAATCAGCATCTACTCATAATCAATGCATTGCTATGGGGAAAGCTCAACATCTTCATGCAGAGCGTGGAGACTCTGAACATCAATGCTGCATGTTGTGCAGCACTGACTCAGGAAGCACCTCTAGTGGCTGAGTGACTGCCACTAGAGGTGTTTCTAGGCAGTAATGTAAACACTGCCTTTTCTATGAAAAGGCTGTGTTTACATTGAAATGCCTGCAGGGACAGGCTATAGACACTAGAGCAACTACATTAAGCTGTAGTTGTTCTGGTGACTATTGTGTCCCTTTTGAAGGGACACTATAGGCACCCAGACCATGTCATCTCATTGAAGTCGTCTGAGTGTAATGTCCCTTGTTCCCTTAACCCTGCACTGTAAAACACTCCTTTTTTGAGAAATTACAATGTTTACATTAAAGGGCTAAGACTGTTTCTAGTAGCTGTCATCCATACAGTCACTAGAGGCGCATTGTGGAGTTTCACAGAGTTTTGATGTCCTCATGCTATGCATGCTACAAATACCAATAGGAAAGCATTTATACAATGCTTTCTTATGGGGAAGGTCTAATGCACGCAGGAAGCTCGCCATGCATGTGCATTAGGTCCCCCCGATCGGCTGACAATGACAGACAAGTGTAACTCAGCACTATATAATATAATATTAAAAATATATAATTTTTTGCATGTTTTCCTGGCACTTTTATATATAGTCCAGGGTGACAAACAGGAAGCCAAAGATGACAATCGTCTTGTTTCTCCTCTTTGAGTGGGAAATTTCACCCTGTTCCTCTTTATGTGTATATTGTAAAGTTCATTAAAATTAGTGTTTAAATTTCTTAAATATTATTCTATATACTTAGTGCCAGATTTGCCAGTAAGCAGGGTATGACTGTCCTTAAATGTAGGGATGTCAAGCTGAACACTGAATATTATTTGTTTTTATACCTATATTTTATATATTGTTTAGTATCAGCTGCTACATTGTGGGTGGATGGTTGAGATAATGCCTGACTTTCTTGTGCTCCCTCCAAACGGGGGATCAAGTGACAGAGTTCTTTGTTTTTTCTTTTTCTTTGGTGGAAGAAGTAGACGAGCAGCATTTGTGTCTAGCCGCACCTGAGATATAAATTTAGCCCTACTTATACTGCAGAATGTGTTTACTGCTTAAAAATAGAAAATTAATAACATGCATGATGTGTCTCTGGCCAGACATTACCGTGGCATCCTGCATTACCAGATCCTCACTCACAATGTCATCTTCTTCTCTTGTGCCCTGGTAATAAAAAAAAAAAAAGAATGTTCTATTGGAAAACGCAAATAGTATATCAGAACAGAAACAAATAAACAAGCACAGACATGTTCAAAAATATTAAAAAAAAAACAAGTTTACAAATATCCATGTTTGTGGTCTTTTTCAAAAGAAGGGGCATTTTATGAACATTTCAATTATAACATTTGTTGCTTACGTTGCAGACATTCAGCAGCAAATTGTAATAGAAAGTGGAAAGTGACCTATTTGAATTGCTACAGATGCTCCCTTTGTTTTGGGCAGCTGCTTCACATCTATTTAAACATCATGCAAACAGTTTACTAAAAATGAGCATTCCTGGTGATGTAATCTGGCTGCACACATCCTACATGATTCTCATGAACAACACTTGGGGGTTATTTTACTGCATGGAATCAGCAAATATTTCTCACAGAGCTGTTTTTTAATTAAAAAATGTAGTTCACTAACTTGCACAGTTAAGCAATGATGCCATTAAAATATGGCTGCAATTGAAAACCATAAAAAGCGTGTTGCCATTTATTCTGGTGGAAACCTTATATTTTATACAGACAATGCATAATAAGAAACTGTAACTGATAGCTAGCATAGCCTGACTTCCACATTAACCCTGAAATAGGAATGGAGAGATTTTAAAAATAATAATTTAGGGGTTCCTTAAAATTGTCCAATAAAGATCTTCCTTGTTACCCCCTCTTTCTCCACCTTGTGTGCAAGGGTTATAGGGTAATTATTACCTCTTTTTGAAGAGGGGGAGGGAATGCATTACAAGTTAGGTTCCTTTTTAGCATTTGCCCATTCTTCTACCCGCTAGCATACCATTACACTTTATTCCACAAGCTGGGTGTGCATGAAGGTGTAAGGGTAATTTTCAGGGTCTCTGCATGGTAATGCTTTCTTTTACCCCTCCAGGATTAGGGGTGCTCTTACTTAGAAGGTATGAAAATGGCACGAGGATTGATATCATTCAGTATGAAAGCATGGTACTCTATATCTTTTCTTTTAAATCATAGCCTGTGTGCTATTCGAATGTTAGATAAACACACATGCGCGTGCTCATACATACACGCACACATCCACATTACCCTATGCTATGAAAATTGGACAGGGTACACGGATTGCTGATATAGAGTGGTTAAATTGGTGATACTATAGTGTACTACTATCTCAAATAGTTTGGGCTTGTATGAGTTTTTGCACTATTCTGAATAGTTCTGCCTGCTGCCCCTCACCAAATGTTTCGTTGCATTCTTTAGAAATCACATAAAATAATCAAGGAAGAGTTCCACACAAACTGGAATTAACCTTAGGAATAAAATAACATACATTACCTGCAGCAGAACAACAAGCATTTTCTTGAAATGGCCACTGGTATCTTTAACTACATCTGTCTCCAGATCACGGCCATATGCTGCAATCATATACAAACACAAGTCAACATACAGTATATTTGATGTATACTGATACACATATAGCAGTATATATATTAGAATATGCATATATTAACAATAACAATGCTATAATATCGGTCCATTTCTACGTTTCTGTGCATACGTAAGATGGGGATTCAGTAGGCATTTCCTCCTGTCAGTTAAATTCTGATCCTTTAGCAGATATCTGGAGGGGATCTGCATTCTGCATGTACTCACCATCTTTATAAGCCTCCACCAGTGCATGAATTTGCTGGTTATCACGAGAGGCCAATATCTCTATAAGGCATTTCTCATCTGTGCCAACACCCTGTAACACAATCAGTAAAATGCTTAATGAGCAATTTCTCCAGATCATTAAGAGCTTCAGTATCTCAATGTACCTTTCTGTTAGTTGACGAAGAAGGATGTTTATTGATCTTACATTAAAATACAGACGTCAGAATAAAAATGCTATGGAGTGGTGAAATACCCCATGCTTACTCTGAAAAAGCCTGTGTAATAAACAAATATCAACAAAAACAACCAGTGGTGAGATAAGGCAAAAGTCATGGGGAGTTTATAGGTATAATCTTAAAAAAGAAACACAGAAATTAGGTTCTCACTTTATACTTATAATAAGGCAGCAGCCAAACTTACAGTGATTCCCAAAACCTTGTGGAAATAAAGTTATAACAAAAACCAGACAATAGCTAAACGCGCCTAAAAAAACAATATAGCCCATAAGCGAAGTCACATATAAAACATAGATACGTACATATGTCTATGGTTCATATGTACGTATATATGTTTTATATGTGACCACGAATGGGCTAATTTGTATTTTAGGCACACTTATCTAGTGTTTGGCTTTTGTTATGAGTTTATAGGTATAGTAATAGATATTACTAAAAACACATACCATTACTCTGTTGGGTATTTAATCTGGCAATGAGGAACATCCTGAAGATTTTAACACGGTTGTCAAAAACTTTCATAGGCTAAAAAATTATTATAAAAATATATAGTGCCGACTTTTAACCCCTTAAGGACCAAACTTCTGGAATAAAAGGGAATCATGTGTCCTTAAGGGGTTAAACTCACCATTTTTTTTTATTGACAGATGTCAAAATAAACATACTTTTTCCAAACCTCATAGTAAGTAATCATATAGTAGAAAGCATTTGCTATGGACAATGATTTTGTGATATTTAGATCAATATTCTAAATGCAAAATATGCGTTCATGGGCTCTGAAGTCTTCGCTTTTTATGCAGAACAGGCTCATGTAAATGTTTGGTATTTGTTTGTTATTGTTTCTTTATGTTTTATGTATATCATTCTTGAACTATATATGGAATTTTATACTGATACTTAACGATGACAAATTGAGTCTTTTTGTTTATGCATGGTCTTAAAACATTATATTTAATAAATAATTATATACTAAATACAATATGTGCTGCCCAGTACATTAGGAACATGAGAGACAAAGACAGACGGTTAATTATACAAGAAAAATATAGAAATATTGAACAATGCTGCTGTCTTGTTTATATGTACAATTAAAGCACATTTTACTTAGGCTTCTTTCATAATTTCCACTTTTGCTCATTAATAATTGAAAAATTGATTGTTCTGCTTTATGAGATTTCCATAAAATGCTAGATCGACCAGATTATTTATTGATTAAGAGGAAACATACTTTTGTTACACATGAAGTATGAAAACCTTGAAGGGCCAATATAAGCATCAAAAGTTGTGAAACTGAAGAGGCATGATCTATACACCCAAGCCGCTTTATTAACCTAAAGTTGTTTTTGTGCCTATAGTGGCCCTTTAAACCAAGATTGTAAAAACTGAAAAAGATACCTCAATTATTATTTAATAATAAATTTACCTCATATATAAATAACAATATCAATAAATGAAAAATAAATGAATTAAACCACTCATTTTAGAACATGTTATTTTTTTTAACAAGTTCTAATATTTATTCTGACCAAATCTTAAAAAAATGCTGACCTGATCATTCTTCTTGGCTATAGAAATACTTCAATGAAGCAGATAACAAAATGAAGATTGGATTTATTAAACTTCAAGTAATATCAATCTTTATTGGGTCTCATACTACACCCAATGTTAAATGTTAAATTAGCCAAAAAGTAGAACAGAGTTTGGCTTTGTTGGAGTGTACTGAATTTTCACAAATTTTTAGAACCCACAATTTAGTGAACACACAAGTCTCCAAACAAATATAAACAGATAAAAGATATCAAAAGTTTAAGATTTAATTAATGCAAATTACAACATGAAGTACTTACATCTATGGCATCCTTAATTTCCTTGGCATCACAGTATGCAGGAGGGCGCATCAACCCTACTATGAGTCTTTCAAATTTTCCAGTCAGTTCATATTTCAAATCTTCAATAAGATCCTTTGAAAGAGGAAAATAGCTTTGTTATTATAAGTAGCATCTTGCATGTAGCATCTGTTGATAATTTATTGAACACTTTATTTTACTTAAAGGGACACTTTTGTCACCAGAACTACTACACATTAATGTAGTGGTTCTGGTGTCTACAGCCCGTTTCAGCAGGCGTTTCAATGTAAACATTGCCTTGTAACACCCTGGTATAGGAGCCTAGTAACATCTCTAGTGGCAGACTGTCACTGGAGTTCCCTAGTAGAAGTGCCTACTAACACCTCTAGTAGCAGCCACTCAGTCACTAGAGATGTTTCCTATGCAGTGCTGCACAGTATGAACAGAACCTTCTTCACAGAGATGCATCTATACGGGAGATGCTGATTGATTTCCTATGGGAAAGCATTGGACTGGCTGAGATCATCAAGACTGATGATCTAGCCATGGAGTCTAGAGCCAACACAGCGTGGGAAAAAGGTGAGTAAAAACCTTTTTAAAGTGATGTAGGGGGAAGACCTAAATAGGTAGTTTAAAACTATAGTATCATAAATACATGTTTGTATTCCTGACACCATAGTGTTCCTTTAGGCAATATATATACACTGCTCAAAAAAATAAAGGGAACACAAAAATAACACATCCTAGATCTGAATGAATTAAATATTCTTCTGAAATACTTTGTTCTTTACATATTTGAATGTGCTGACAACAAAATCACACAAAAATTAAAAAATGGAAATCTAATTTTTCAACCCATGGAGGTTTGGATTTGGAGTCACACTCAAAATTAAAGTGGAAAAACACTCTACAGGCTGATCCAACTTTGATGTAATGTCTTTAAAACAAGTCAAAATGAGGCTCAGTAGTGTGTGTGGCCTCCACGTGCCTGTATGACTGCCCTACAACGCCTGTGCATGCTCCTGATGAGGTGGCGGATGGTCTCCTGAGGGATCTCCTACCAGACCTGGACTAAAGCATCTGCCAACTCCTGGACAGTCTGTGGTTCAACGTGATGTTGGTGGATGGAGCGAGACATGATGTCGCAGATGTCCTCAATTGGATTCAGGTCTGGGGAACAGGCGGGCCAGTCCATAGCATCAATGCCTTTGTCTTGCAGGAACTGCTGACACACTCCAGCCACATGAGGTCTAGCATTGTCTTGCATTAGGAGGAACCCAGGGCCAACCGCAAAAGCATATGGTCTCACAAGGGGTCTGAGGATCTCATTCTGGTACCTAATGGCAGTCAGGCTACCTCTGGCGAGCACATGGAGGGCTGTGCGGCCCCCCAAAGAAATGCCACCCCACACCATTACTGACCCACTGCCAAACCGGTCATGCTGGAGGATGTTGCAGGCAGCAGAATGTTCTCCACAGCGTCTCCAGACTCTGTCAAGTCTGTCACATGTGCTCAGTGTGAACCTGCTTTCATCTGTGAAGAGCACAGGGCGCCAGTGGCGAATTTGCCAATCTTGGTGTTCTCTGGCAAATGTCAAACGTCCTGCACGGTGTTGGGCTGTAAGCACAACCCCCACCTGTGGATGTCGGGCCCTTATACCACACTCATGGAGTCTGTTTCTGACCGCTTGAGCTGACACATGCACATTTGTGGCCTGCTGGAGGTCATTTTTCGTGGCTCTGGCAGTGCTCCTCCTGTTCCTCCTAGCACAAAGGCGGAGGTAGCGGTCCTGCTGCTGGGTTGTTGCCCTCTTACAGCCTCCACCACGTCTCCCGATGTACTGACCTGTCTCCTGGTAGCGCCTCCATGCTCTGGACACTACAAGCACAGCAAACCTTCTTGCAACAGCTTGTATTGATGTGCCATCCTGGATGAGCTGCACTACCTGAGCCACTTGTGTGGGTTGTAGACTCTGTCTCATGCTACCACTAGAGTGAAAGCACCGCCAGCATTCAAAAGTGACCAAAACATCAGCCAGGAACCATAGCAACTGAGAAGTGGTCTGTGGTCACCACCTGCAGAACTACTCCTTTAGTGGGGGTGTCTTGCTAATTGCCTATAATTTCCACCTGTTGTCTATCCCATTTGAACAACAGCATGTGAAATTGATTGTCACTCAGTGTTGCTTCCTACGTGGACAGTTTGATTTCACAGAAGTGTGATTGACTTGGAGTTACATTGTGTTGTTTAAGTGTTCCCTTTATTTTTTTGAGCAGTGTATATAAAGTGCCTTGCAAAAATATTCACCCCCTTGGCATTTTCTGTGTTTCGTTGCCTCACAACCTGGAATTAACATGGATTGTTTGAGGATTTGCATCATTTAATTTACAGAACTTTCCCACAACTTTGAAGATGTTTTGTTTTTTACTGTGAAACAAACAACAAATAGGACAAAATAACAAAAAAAGTCAATGTGAATAACTATTCACCCCCCCCCCAAAGTCAATACTTTGTAGAGCCACCTTTTGCGGCAATCACAGCTCCAAGTCGCTTTGGATAAGTCTCTATGAGCTTGCCACATCTTACCACTGGGATTTTTGCCCATTCCTCCTTGCAAAACTGCTCCAGCTCCTTCAAGTTGGATGGTTTGCGCTTGTAAACAGCAATCTTTAAGTCTGACCACAGATTTTCTATTGGATTGAGTGTTGCCTTAGCAGTGTGTTTGAGGTCATTGTCCTGCTGGAAGGTGAACCTCTGTCCTAGCCTCAAATCACGCACAGAGTGGTACAGGTTTTGCTCAAGAATATCCCTGTATTTAACACCATTCATCTTTCCCTCAACTCTGCTGCTGAAAAACATCCCCACAGCATAATGCTGCCACCATCATGTTTCACTGTGGGGATGGTGTTCTTTGGGTGATGTGATGTGTTGGGTTTGTGCCAGACATAACGTTTTCTTTGATGGCCGAATAGTTAAATTTTAGTCTCATCAGACCAGAGCACCTTCCTTTCATATATTTTGGGAGTCTCCCACATGCCTTTTCGCAAACTCAAAATGTGCCATTTTGTTTTTTTGCTAAATGTAATGGCTTTCTTCTGGCCTCTCTGCCATTAAGCCCAACTCTATGGAGCGTACGGCTTATTGTCTTCCTATGTAAATATACTACAGTCTCTGTTGTGGAACTCTGCAGCTCCTCCAGGGTTACCTTAGGTCTCTGTGCTGCCTCTCTGATTAATGCCCTCCTTGCCCGGTCCATGAGTTTTGGTGGGCGGCCATCTCTTGGCAGGTTTGCTGTTGTGCCATGTTCTTTCCATTTGGCTATGATAGATTTGATGGTGCTCCTGGGGATCATCTAAGATTTTGATTTTTTTTAATAACCTAACCCTGACTTGTACATCTCAACAACATTGTCCTTTACTTGTTTGGAGAGTTCCTTGGTCTTCATGGCAGTGTTTTGTTAGTGGTGCCTCTTGCTTAGGTGTTGCAGCCACTGGAGCCTTTCAAAAAAGGTGTGTATATGTAATGACAGATCATGTGACACTTAGATTGCACACAGGTGGACATCATTTTACTAATTATGTGACTTCGGAAGGTAATTGGTTGCACCAGAGTTTTTTATTGGCTTCACAACAAAGGGGGTGAATACATACGCACATGCCAATTTTCTGTTTTCTATTTCTAAAAAATAGTTTTATGTATATATTTTTCTCATTTCACTTCACCAACCTAGACTATTGTGTTCTGATCTATCACATAAAATTCAGACTAATAAAACATTGAACTTAAGGCTGTTATGTAACAAAATAGGTAACAAGTCAAGGGGCGTGAATACTTTTGCAAGGCACTTTACAGTTTCCATACCCATAACATAACAAGAAAGTTGGATGCATCCTAGTAAAATGAGCCACATCAGCATTTGAAATCTAGTGCAGAGAGTAAAGGGGTATTGGGGATATCGCACTCTCAACAAAGAGCCAGAGTTCAGAGTGTCCCAACGAGGACCACTTAATGACTCTCTGTTGGTGGATTTCCCGGTGGTAAAGGGACTCCTTGTCCACTTCTACTGGGCAGTAATGGCAGATACATTTGATACTGCACATATAAATAAAATCACAAAACAGATATAAGCAACTTGGTTAAAACTGATAGAAGCAACTTGTGTAGTGGTAAATATGCCACTACACAATGAGCATCTTGTTAGTAAAAATTATTTTTTTAGCCCAATGTGCATTCTGGAACATAGCTACTGTACACATGGTGAAAATTCTAGTGTCTGGATTTTTCATGTAATTACTCGTCCTAAACAAGTGGCTCTCCGCCTTTATTTGATAGGAACATTAGCACAGTGACTGCAATTTAATAAATAGTAAAATTCATGATTTAAAAAAAAAATGATTAGACCATTCTGTATTTTAGATAGGAAAAAGGCAGCACTGCTAAATTAACTAGTTTATCTTGAGAAATTGTCTAAAGATTTATTAATATGATTTTGGGGACCCAACAAAATACAATGAGCAACCACATTTGGAGCTCATGAAAAACTGTCCTAAAGAATCCTGACTTGGCAACTAGATAATCTCAGCAGTTAAGAATTTGTGTTTTATGTTTTTTTTAGGTGAGAGGTATAAATACCTAATCAGTTAAAAGATTATAGGTTTATGTACGGACCTTCCCATAGAGGGATTTGTAGGCCTGGATGATTTCAATACGCTGGTGGTTCCTCCTGGTTGTGATGAGGTCCAGTATGGCTTCTTTATCACTGCCTGCAAGAAAGGAGAATAACATTTAAAAAAATAAAATGTTTATGACTTTTCAACTTCACATAGATTGAGGATGAAAAATATAACTTTGAGGTTCACACATGACCTAAAAGTATCAATAAGACAACACAAATGTCAATGAATAGGGTGTCATTAACACATGCGAACGACTGATGCTAAATAAGTAATGTTAATGATGGTTTCTCTGTAAATGTTCCCATTGGAATTTATCTCACAAGTTGTGCAAAAAGTAACAAAACAGAAAGAAATAGCTGTGCACTGAGAGTGTCTACACCAGGAGTAGTCAACCTCATCCCTACTGCCCACTAGTGGGCGATTTGGGATTTCAGGTGGGTGATCGTGGGTTCTGTAGAAAATGCCCAGTGAGCCTCGATGGCCATGGGCCAAGGCCGGCAGGGGGGAATCTTTTCATCTCCCCTGCCGGCCCATGCAGAGCAAGCCTTACTGTAAGCCCTCTCGGCCCTCCCTCACTGGTCTGCTGGCACTTAGTTCCAGCAGAGTAACATTATGTCCCCCCTTCCTGGTAAAAATTAAGAATGGGGGTGGGAGGGGGAGACATTAAGATAGATATTCACATCTCACCCACCTAAACACAGCATAGATGATATGCACCCTTCACACACACTACACCCTACACTACACACACCTTCTGCCCCCTCACACACATAATGACTGCCCCCCTCACACATAGACACTACCCCCTCACACACACTGCCACCACACACAGATTGGTCCACACACACATTACCTCTCACCTACACTCTACCCCTCACGCACTCCCCCCTCACACACACTGCCCCCTCTTACATGCAAAGCACCCCGCACACACAGCACCCTTCACACACACACAGCGACCCTCACAAAAGCACAGCAACCCTCACACACATGCACAGCACCCTCACACACACGCACAACATACACACTGCCCCCTCACACACACTACACGAAGCATGTCGAACTTGTGGCATGTGGCCCACAATGGATATATTTGTGGCCCACCTGACCTGGGGCAACTTTGTGTTGTGACTGCGACAAGCCGCAAGACAGGAAAGATATTTCTTTCTGATTCTTGTCTTCCCTCCAATGGCTGATTGCATGCTCCCACAAGCCAGCCACACTCATTTTGAGGTAGTAAGGTAGTGTAACAGGGGCTTGGGGGACCATAGTGAGGTAGTGGAAGAGGGGCTTGGGGGACCTTCCTATGTTGCATGTTAAATTGAGGAGGGAGTGCAGTGCATTAATTTGAGGGAGGGCAGGCAGTATATTAAATTGGGGGAGGGAGTGGGCAGTGTTTTCATTTTATGGGGGCGGGGCACTGTATTAATTTGGGGGGAAAACACGCAGCTTTTTCCTACACATGCACAATAGCCTTCCAATGCTTTCCTATAGGAAAGCTTTGGATTGGCTAAGATCATCAAGTTTGACGATCTCAGCCAAAGTGAAGAACACACTCATAGGACTTCAAAATCAACAAGATAACGTCATTTGTTTTTTTACAGCTGTGCAACAGCATACATTCATTATTTCAGTCCTATTACCAAACTTTTCTTAATATATCAAGGTAGTTGGAAACATTGGTTATATGCAAATGCACATCTCCTTTAAATACATTTGCTCTTTTGTTTACTTTGAAGCCCTACGAACGTGAAGACATCCAGTGTCAGTTAGGCAACTTTTTTTATACTCTACTTTTCTAAATAAACCTACGTTTCTATGAAAACTGAAGTTTTAGTTTTTTTTGCTGCCCACATGAACTTGCAGCCTCTCACTCCACCCTCGCACGCAGACTGTGATGCCTGGAGACGGAATATGACATAATTCTGACCCAGGCATACTAAACAGCGGGCGGGAGGAGCGAGGAGCTGCCCCACACTGGAACCCTGGGAGGTGAGTGTTTGACTGTCAGTAAGTGTGTGTGTGTCAGCGAGTGACACACTGTGAGTACACTGTGTGCTTATATTGCTTTTGCAATTTCCCTTCAAGTGCTTGAAATTTCCATTTGAGTGCCATAAAGAAGCAAATATATTATGAACCATATGAGCTCTTGAAGAATATGGAGAGTTTAGTAAGAGTTTCTACTTATGTTTTATCAGATAGAGGAACTAACCAGAACTCCAAAGCAGAACTTTGTTTCTACTGCTGTTATTAAACTGATGCTTGAGTGAAAGTGAAGGGTGAGGGAGGCTTAACAGACTAAATAAAATTTGTTGTCAGTGTATACAGATAAAGTCACCTTACCAAAACCTTTCATGGCTTTATAAAGAGTCTCTGCATCTTGACTGGCATCAAAGTCTGGAAAATCCTTCACTGAGCCTCTATAACGACCTCCCTAGAAAAGTAAATAGAGAAGAAATCAGATAATAATCTGCATTTATAACAAGTGTTGTTGTAAATATATTGGAGTTAACACAAGTGGAGATAAAAACATTTATGTTGAAACTGGTGCAATTAACATAATAGTGTGTTTGATTACTCTGGTTGTTTTACACAATTGCCCCAAATATCTGCTCCTTGAAATATGCTTCCTATATTATAATTCCCCAAACAATAATTTATAGAAATTTTACAAAGGAATTACATGGTTTAAGCAACATCCTTGTCAATTCTTAATCCAGTTTAGTGTTTAACATGATTAATATACAATTTTACTATATACCATGTTCCCATTGGTATGTACTAATATGTGAAATAAATATTTTAACTCTTCTTACATTGACATAAATTTATCACTTTTTCTTGTCTTTTGCTTTTTATTTGAAACGTTTTATTCTTTCAAAATTCTTAATTTGTACCATATTACAGGTTCTTGATAGATAACAAGTTGAGATTTAATTAAGAAAGGAAAATAACAGTAGAAACAATGTAGTAATATCTTAGCCACAAGTACCATAACTATGTGTAAAATGGCACTATTTCGTCTGAATCTTGGTAGACAATGCAGCTGGATTTACAATGTCTGATAATCCAAATACTGCAAGCCTGGATTATCTTAATTTCTTGGCCCCTAGCCTTTAACCTCATGATGCCCATGATTTATAATCACATGACAAGACCAAACATATCTAATGGACTCTTCTCTTATCTCTCAATTTTTTTATCCTTAATTTAAATCATAGTTTTAGACAAATTATAGAAAATCACAAGTTGGGCCAAGATAGCCAATGTTTTTAGAAGTTATGCGTGTATTAGTGTATTATGCTATGGTAACGGTAAAGGTAATTACAATTAAAAGTGATTAAATATCATGGTAACATGGGTGATAAAATCAGCTGGGCTGCTCCACTTAAGGAAGCTGGCTTAGCTATGCAATTTTACCAATAAAATGGTTGAGTACTTTTAAGTTTGACTCCCAGAGGTTTTTATTTACTGTAGTATATGTAAAGAATATTTAAATAATAGAAACAACAAAAAATGCGAGTGAATAAATCATGATTGTGAGACACACTGAAGTGCTTTAAGGTCTGGAGTGTCCCTTACAATAGAACATATTTTGTTTATTTTGAAACCCTGTGAATGCATTTCTTCATATTGCAGAAACAATTTTCAATGTTAAGTTTTCCTTTCTGCCTGTATATCTGTATGCTATACTGATGCAATTTATCAGAGGATTGGTATAAAGACTTCTACGGCTGCTTCTTATTTCCCAGCCTGGCCCTTCTGGTGTGCTCTTTTTGGGGGTTATGTAGCATATCTTTTATATAACTCACAGTAATGTAGTCTGCTGTACACTGTGTTGTCTATGAATCTTCTCCAAGTACGTTTGCTTCCTTGTCAATGGATCTGAATATTATTATTGGAAACCATAGCTTATTAAATATATTGTCTCTCATACAACTAAATTGAACACTGTAGTAAAGCATGTTTTCCTTCTCCCATTGTTGACACAGTTGGCTTACTCTATGCCATTTCTGTGTTGGCCAGTCTCCATTTGTAGATTGTGTGTATTCAGTCTACATTGGTATAAAATCTACTATCACTATGTAAACCTTCTGTCGGGAATTATAATTTTGTTGAGTTTTCTACATAATCCTTCCAATCCAACACATATTGTTTTTCCATTTCCTGCTGATAGAAGGACCCTAGCCATTATCACCACATTAAACAAAGAGAAGTGGTAATCTGGAACAAGATAGAGATGATCACATGACAGGGGACACAAGACCACGAGTGTGGCAGGGGTTGGTAATAACAAATGGGATAGAGAACCATAAACCCTAAACACCCCTCTAATTGTAGGTTGCCTTAAACCTGTTTCTTGAGGTACATGTTGTGGACCAATGTGGACAGCACCTGGTAAACACCAATGTAATAATGCTGGTAATAACAGTGTGATGACTTTTTCAAGGCAGCAATATTTCAGTGTGCATTTACATAATGACTGGAGCCTCTTCATAAACTTTTTTCATGGACTCTGTTCAGAGTGGATAAAGTGCTTCTAGAAGCAGAATTGGTTTTCAAATATTAAACATTAGGAGTTATAGGAGCTATACATTATTTGATCCTTTTTGATAGCCCAAAAATGACTCTTTATTACTAAAACTTAATTACTTTAATGACTCTTGGTGGCTAAAACAGCATTCCCAGGCTGCATTCCACTTGTTTTACAGAGTGTGGATTTAAAAGCTTTAACTACGTGTCTGTAATAAATAAATACATATATATATATATTTATCCCAATCCAGGGCCCTTCACCTTCTCTACACACACTAAGACAACCAGAAACCTCACAAACCTCATCACAATACCTTGCCCTTTACCCCCCTCACTTACCAAAATTAATTGTGCACTCTGGAATGCCCTCTCCATCTGCAGTAATTTAAAATCAACAACCATACACGACTTTTTCATCTCAAACTCACTCACACTGCTTGCACTTACAGAGACCTGGCTATCCCCCTCTGATAGCGCTACTCCTGCCTCTTTATGTTTTGGTGGGCTACAATTCTCTCACACTCCCAGACTCAACTGTAAAGGAGGTGGCGTAGGCATCCTTCTCTCCCCTCAATGTACCTTTCAACCAATCATAACTCCCCCTGCCCTATCCTTTTCTTCTTTTGAAGTTCACACTGTCTGCCTATTTAAACCCACTCCTTTAAGAATTGCTATCATCTACCACCCCCACCCCCTCTCCCCCCCCAAGCCCCCAGTTATCCTATTCATTGAGCACTTTTCTTCCTGGCTTCCCCACTTCCTCTCATCTAGCACTCCTTCCCTTATACTTGGGGATTTCAATATCCCAATCAATAACCCCAATTGCACTGATGCCTCTCGTCTGCTCTCTGTAACCTCCTCCTTTAGCCTTACGCAATGGTCCAATTTAGCAACCCATACAGCAGGAAACACTCTTGATCTTGCCTTCACCAACTTCTGTACTGCCTCTAATCTCTCCAATATTCCTTTTCCTCTATCTGACCACCATCTGCTGACTTTTTACATTGGCATACCTAAGACCCAATTGACACCACCGTGTGAACATCACTCTCACAGTAACCTCCAATGTCTTGACCTAAAGCATTTCTCCACTAATCTCCAAACTCTCCTTTTACCTATCTCAAACCTCACCTGTCCTAGTTCTGCAACCTCCTGCTACAATTCCACCCTCTCCTCTCAACTAGACATCATGGCACCTTGTACATTTAAACGCCGCAGGCCCCCCCAACAACAACCCTGGCACACCAAGCTCACTCAATACCTCCAAAAATGCTCCAGAACTGCTGAACACTGTTGGAGAAAGTCTCACTGTGCATCTGACTTTCTCCACTATAAATTTATGCTGAGCTCATACAGCTTGGTTATTTCCTCTGCAAAAGTTAATTACTTCAATACCCTCATAACCACACTCTCCCGCGAACCCAAACAACTATTTCACACATTTAACTCTTCTTCGCCCTGCTGTTCCTCCTCCGCCTACTAACTTGACCGCCTCAGACTTTGCAACTCACTTCACTGACAAGATCTCTACAATCAGAGAAGAGATCTCTCATTTTTCTTCTTCCCCTTACAATACTTCCCCTAACTTCACTCCCTCTGCTGTTCTATGTTCATTTGCACACACTACATTGGAAGAGGTTTCTACTCTGCTCCAGTCCTCCTGCCCCACCACCTGCTCCCTAGATCCAATTCCCTCGCATCTCATCTGTACTCTGTCTTCTTCTCTTTCTCCACCTCTCACTAAAATTCTCAATCTCTCTCTCTCCTCTGGTATATTTCCATTGCCCTTCAAACATGCAACTGTAACCCCAATTCTAAAGAAGCCCACTCTTGACCCTAACTCCCCATCCAACTATCGTCCTATCTCGCTACTGCCTTTTGCATCCAAGATCCTTGAAAAAATTGTGTATGCGAGATCGACAGACTTCCTCAAGTGCAACTCACTGCTAGACCCGATTCAGTCTGGTTTCCGCGCAAAGCACTCTGTGGAAACGGCACTGACCAAAGTATCCAATGATCTACTCGCTGCAAAATCTCGTGCCACTACTCTATCCTAATTCTCCTTGACCTGTCTGCTGCTTTTGACACTGTTGATCATCAACAGCTTCTTCTCATCCTCCGCAATATCGGTCTACAAGATATTGCTCTCTCCTGGTGCTCCTCCTACCTCTCCCAGCGCTCTTTCAGTGTTTCTTTCTCTGGCTCTGCTTCTTCTCCCCAACTCCTCTCTGTTGGTGTCCCCCAAGGTTCAGTCCTTGGTCCCCTACTGTTCTCCATCTATACTGCCTCCCTTGGTAAACTCATTAGCTCCTTTGGCTTCCAATATCATTTCTATGCAGATGACACGCAAATCTACCTGTCCTCTCGTGATCTCTCCCCGTCCCTCTTGACTAGTGTCTCTGACTGCCTCTCTGCTGTTTCTAACTAGATGGCTGCCCACTTCCTTAAACTAAACTTGACCAAAACTGAAATTCTGATCTTTCCTCCCTCAAGTGTTGTTACTCCTGTCTGTCTCCCTCCAAGTCAATGGTGCTACCATCAGCTCCACCACGCAGGCTCACTGCCTAGGTGTTCTCTTTGACTCCGACCTCTCCTTCAAGCCTCATGTTCAATCTATCGCCAAATCCTGTAATTCCCATCTCAAAAACATTGCGCGCATCCGCCCCTACTTAACGCCAGATGCGACTAAGGTGTTGGTCCATTCTACTGTCCTTGACTACTGTAATCCGCTTCTCAGTGGTCTTACGTGCACCCAACTTGCACCATTACAGTCCATAATGAATGCGGAGGCAAGGCTCATCTTCCTGTCCGCCCGTACCTCCCATGCCTCACCCTTCTGTCAGCCCCTACATTGACTTCCTATAAAATATAGAGCTCAATTTAAAATTCTGGTTCCTGCTTTCAAATCTCTACATAATGCTGCTCCCACCTATCTATCCTCCCTTATACACAAGTATGTCCCGTCTAGGCCCTTACAATCTGCTGAAGACTTACATCTAGCTTTTGTCCGTATTCCCACCTCTGATGCTCGCCTTCAAGATTTCTCGAGGGCTGCACCGTTCCAGTGGAACTAGCTTCCCTCCTCCGTTAGATGCTCACCCAGTGTCCACTCCTTCAAAAAATCGTTAAAAACCCACTTCTTCATAAAAGTGTATCAATTAAACTGTTAATAGCTCCTGACTCTTCTGCAACTGTCACTAGTCTAATACTATCCTTACCTTTTTGTGTCATTTTACCCCACTCCCTCTAGCATGTAAGCTCATTGAGCAGGGCCCTCAACTCCTCTGTTCCTGTGTGTCCAACTTGTCTGGTTACAACTACATGTCTGTTCGTCCACCCATTGTAAAGCGCTGCGGAATTTGACGGCGCTCTATAAATATCATAATAATAATATATATATATATGTATATGTATATGTATATGTATATATATATATATATATATATATATATGTTAAGGGTGCTTAATGTCTTTTTATTAATATACTTTGTAATTTTCTACAGTGAGTTTAGTGGAATTTCAGGTATGGGGTTACGCTAATACATCTGAATTATATAATGTAATAATAACATTGAATTAAGACAGATATTTTAAATAAAGATATATATTCATGTTTGTAGAAAGTAGATATCCGGTAGGTACCAGGTCTGTTCAGGTTCTAAGAGTTCTTTTGCAGCCTTACAACCTAGGTGTAAATACACTGCAGTGGGCATGGGGCAACTTAATAAGGAGATCATAGGGTGTCTACAAATTGCAAGGGACTTGTTTTATAGGCACAGAGAAGCTGTGATGGGTAATAGGGCTGTGATGATTATGAGATGGGAGAGGTCTGTGGCATATATTGGGGACAAGGTCTTTAAATTAGGGGAGTGACTATAAAAGACTTGGGAGATTTGATGAATACTGCTGTGTTGGAATAGAAATGACAGAGCTGTGATGTAACTGAAGAGACTATAAAGGATATTAGGGGAGGTATGTTGATGGACATTTAAGGAACTTGAGTGACGTGTTGGGTAGTATTGACATGGGGGCACATTGCAATGTTTTATAGATGTGGAGATCTGTGATACACTTATACAGATTATATATTGCATGCAAAATGGTAGAAAGCTAGGAAGATTGACCAATATAGGGTCATTGCTGATGGTTTACATTTTGCATGGACTAGTTCATATACTATTAATGGCTTATTGACACAGATATATTTGCAGAAAACAGAAGGTTTTGGATACAACTGCACAATTTCCAGATATATTCATTTTTTATTTGTAGAATAACCAATGTCATACTCGAGTCTCCCAATCCCAAGACAGTGATTAATAAATACTGATACAATTAGACATAATGTGCAGTGTAAAGAACTGCTCTTGGAGATGATATATGCATGGAGTGAGGATCAGTGTAGAACCAAAACAAACAGACTATAACACAATAAATAGACAAGCCGTATATAGATCCTTAGAGGAGACCACGGTAGTAGGTTAACGGTAGAGGAGTCAGAGAGGTTGCCAAGGTTAAGGACAGGAGAGATGCGGATAAAAGTTATAACAAGCCAAGGTCAAAGGATCCTGTAGATCAGGAGAATTCAGTAAACAAACAAATTCAGAAATGAGGAACAGGAGATACAGGCAACCTGCTCTTGGGCTACTAGAACCACAACAAGGCAACATGGAATGGTAGAGGTAATTCAACAATAGGATCCAAATTAGGTTCAGCAAATTCGCCATTTGGACCCGAATTCAGGTGCCCATAAAACCCTGTGGCATGCTAGTGTTCAGTGTCACACACAATTCCAAGGGATTCGGGTGAAAGGTTAACGATCCCAACACATGCCTAATTGATATTTGCATTTAGATATTTATTTTCTCAGCAACCAACTGAGGCCTTTTGAAAGTTCCCCTGAAATCCACAAATACCCATCTTAACTAGTTTAACCTAGTTTAATTGCTTCCCTACTAGAACTGTACATACATGTAATTACTAAAATTGCTGTTTTATCATACATGTATGTGCTAGCTATGTACCCCATGCTTTAAATACTTTATGCTAATATACCGGTATATTTGCAACCAAAAATTGCATGGTAGTGTAGAGGTTAAGAGTTGTCTTTTTCATTTAATTGCTTCATAAAAGATCAAAAACAAATAGATAAAGCACTAGCATGGATAAAATGGGAGCAAGAGTTACAAGTTTCCTTTACGCTTGAAGAATGGTTATCAGGGCTACATTCAGTAAAAAGATACATACATGCAGTGGCGTACACATGACCCATGGGGCCCCGGTGCGAAAATTGATCCGTGGCCCCCCGCGCGCGTGGGCTGCAACACATGGCGGTGGACACCTGGGCGCAGGGGTTACAGGGCTGCGACCCCTGCGACCGTGGTATGTACGCCAGTGCATGCAGATGCAGACACACTTAAAGGACCACTACAGACACCCAGATCACATCAGCTCAATGAAGTTGCCTGGGTGTCCGGTCCCTCTAGTTTGAACCCTGCAGCTGAAAACATAGAAGTTTCAGAGAAACTGCTATGTTCCACTGAGGGTTAATCCAGGCTCTAGTGGCTGTCTCACTGACAGCCGCTAGAGGAGCACACTGAATGTCCATAGGAAAGCATTGAGTTATGCTTTCCTATGGGCGGTTTGAATGCGTGCGCGGTCGCATTCGGAGCTGAGAGGCTGAGGGATCCCCAGTGCCAAGGGAGTCCGGCGCTGGAGAAAGGTAAGTGCTGAAGACACACACACTCTCACTTACAGACGCATACACACTAGCTAACAGACACACACATTTACTGGCAGAGACACACTCAGCGACAGACATACATACTCACTTACAAAACATACACTTTCATTGATAAACACAAACTCACTAACAGACATCAAACAAACTCACTAACACACACACACACTCAGTAAGACACACAGAGTAACACACTCACTGACACTCACTAGCAGACACACACACTAACACTCACACACACTAGCAGACACACACACTAACACTCACTCTCACACACACTCTAACACTCACACTAACACTCACACTAACACTCACACACTCACACTCTAACACTCACACTCTAACACTCACACTCTAACACTCACACACACTCTAACACACAAACTCTAACACTAACACTCACACACTCTAACACTCACACACTCTAACACTCACTCATGTTTTTTTTTTAAAAAATGTAATCCCCCCAGCCTCCTTACCTTATGGAGAGCTGGGGGGATTCCCTGGGGTCCAGTGGTGCTGCTGGGCTGTCTGGCGGGCTGTCTGGCCGGCGCGCGAGGGAGCACTCAGTGCTTCCTCTTCAGCTCCCTCGCGCGCCGCGTAGGGATGCTAGCGCCGGAAGATGACGTCATCTTCCGGCTCCGGTATCAGTGCGGTGCACGAGGGAGCTGAAGAGGAAGCACTGAGTGCTCCCTCGCGCGCCTGCCTGCCCGACCGGCCACCCGCCTTCCGGGTGTCAGCAGGGCCAGCCTCGGGGGGCCCTGGGGTGGTTGGCTCCTGGGCCCTCCAGTGCAAGAGGCTGGCCCTGTGGGTACATAACGGGTCGCAGGGGCGGCCGGGCCCCCTGGTGGGCCGGGCCCGGTCGCAGCCGCGACCCCTGCGACCCTGGTATGTACGCCACTGCATACATGGGGTAAATATACGGGAAGTCTATTTTAAACTTGTTTATAGATGGTACTTGGTGCCTACTCGCCTACATAAATTTCAATTTACAACTATGCCAGATTGTTGGAGATGTGGCAAGGCATTAGGGTCATTTCCCCATATATGGTGGGGCTGTGAGGAGTTGACCCCTATGAAATCAATTTTATCTGGGCTTGTAAATTTTATCACTGAGGTACAAACTGAGATAACTGCCCAAATGTTCTTGTTTCATTTAGATATGCCAAAGCTTAACTTAAAAACGAAAATTCTTATGATTCATATTTTTATGGCAAATAAAATAGTTTTGGCCAGAAATTGGTCTGATATAAGTACACAGTTGGATTTCCAATATAGGATGGAAGCAGGCATAGCATTGGATAGAGTATCCAACAAGAAATATGATGAAATTTGGGCCCCTTGGGTTAGATATTTGAGCATAAAAGCTTAACCCCTCCACCTGTTTTCCCCCAAAAATGTATCCTCTCGTTGAATGGAAACTTAGTGTGTGTATGAAAGTGTTGCGTTTATTTTTCTTTTTTGTGACTGGAATATTTTGTGTTTTAATTAACAAAATCATAGCGATGGCTTTGGTATGTATGTATGTAAAAAAAAAAATTAAAAAAAAATCTTATCTCATTGTAATATAGCAATATGATTTTTCCATGTATTTTTCTTGGATGATTTTTCCATGTATGTTACTTGGATGAAAACAATGTTAAAATAAACATATATTGAAAAAAAAAAAAAAGAGTTGTCTTTTTCCAGTACTTGACATTTAATAAAAAGTGGTGGTAGTGTGAGAGAATGTCCAGATCAGTAGTAAAATATCTCCATGTTCTGAAACCAGTACACTCATCCAATGACTCAAAAGTCATTAGTGAGTCATACCATGAACTATTAGTGAATGCCTATGAGTTAAAGCAATGCTATTTCAAGTATTAAGTGGTCTACTCACTATAGTTTATAGTAAGCAAGCAAGATGGCAGATTTCCTCCAACATCTGCTTCATTCTTCTTTATTCTGTCAACTTGTAAATATCTCATCATATGTGTAAGTAAATTCTCTGCATGCCTTGGCCCAGTATCCAGTACCATTATACATCGTGTGCTGGGAAATCCCTCAGTTCTATTTACCAGCTTCCCTCTATGCCAAAGTCCTAGATATTTATAGTTCACAAGTCAAAGCTGATCTGGAAAAATAACGTTTCAGAAATTGAAAAATGTTTCTTAAACTTTAGCCTATTCCATAGAACTAGTAAGTGTGATATGTGACTCCTAAGCTTTCTTCAGACATCTGGGGTCAAAAAGAGGAGTGCTGCTAGAGACAAGGGGAAGCTAAGAGATGTTGTGATGGCAAAGAATTTCGGGTAGCTGAAAGTGATTGCCTATGCCTGCGGTTGATAGGAATGTCTAAGAGACATTAGGTGGCTGAGGTGGTTGCTAAATGACACCAGGGATGACTGGACACCAAGAGGGTTATTTCTATAAGCAATGTGAGACCTGCACTAGGTAGCTTATTTACCATCCATAACTGTGGACAATGAGAACTAAAACAGGAAACATAAAAATGTGCACAAATTGACTGAATCTGGTTTGATGCAATACTATTACGAAGGAGAAAATAAATTGCATCTAATTTATTAACAAATGTTTGGTAATAATTAGACATTGCTCAATATGACACTCGTGTTTAGATTGTTTTTTAAACTCTAGCATTTTTTCCCTGCCCAAAATGTGCCATTTATGGACAGTATAAAAGCAACATGTTTAGTACAAGTTCAACATTATATAACGTGGTAAAATTTACATTAATTTTGGCTATTTTTTTTCTAAATAGGCTGAGTATGAATAATGTCTGTTTCTTTACATCTGACTTAAAATCAAAACTCAGAGGTTTACATGTTTCATAATGATCTAAAGGAAAGCACTGGATAACAATTAAAAGTATGCTTTTTTTTTTTTACCTGTGATGACATGTTGATCAATTTGAATCAGAGGCCGGTAGATAGACCTGTAAATATACAAAACAGTGATTATGAGTAACACTAACATAATCATCAAAATAACAACATCTTGTGGACATGTCATTTATTTCAATACAGTATACAATGCTGCTCAAATATTGTGTTCACATTGCTGGAATGGTTGAACATTTTTAAACATATTTTTATGACTAATTTCAACAAGCACTATTCATTATTCTACAGAAATTATGGGCACTAAAATTAATTAATCCCATTTTGCATTTTCTGTGTTTATCAAATAATACTTTACAAAATTTGGGAAGGTAAAAAATAACCAATCCAGGAGAGGCGTCTAGGTGCATGCTGGGAATGTGATGTGAAGAAAGCAGGAAATAACATAAATTAAAACAACTGAAACAATTAAAAAGAGTTTTTATCCTGGTTACATATTTTATAGTATTGTGCCATTTATTCCTATTCTAGAGTTAATTTTTAATAGATTATTATCAGAGATATTAAACAATTGCCATCCCTAGTTAACTCCCATTATATTCTGTTGTTACAAATCAGAAACCACTGTACATTATGTGTCTGAACTTTAAAGGACCACTATAGGCACCCAGACCACTTCAGCTTAATGAAGTGGTCTGGGTGCCAGGTCCAGCTAGGTTTAACCCTTTTTGCTGTAAACATAGCAGTTTCAGAGAAACTGCTATGTTTACAAATGGGTTAATCCAGCCTCTAGTGGCTGTCTCATTGACAGCCGCTAGAGGCGCTTCCGCGCTTCTCACTGTGATCTTCACGGTGAGAAGACGCCAGCGTCCATAGGAAAGCATTGAGAATGCTTTCCTATGGACTGGCTGAATGCGCGCACAGCTCTTGGAAGAAGAGGGAGGAGAGTCCCAGTGCTGAGGGAGCCCGGCGCTGGAAAAAAAGGTAAGGGATTAACCCCTACCTTCCCCTTCAGCGCCATGGGAGTGGGACCCTGAGGGTGGGGGCACCCTCAGGGCACTATAGTGCCAGGAAAACAAGTATGTTTTCCTGGCACTATAGTGGTCTTTAAATCAGGTCAGTTGTAATTAAAGGGGCTGGAGAATACTGTTGTCCAGGCAATTAGGCCTAGTTAAACCCTGGTCTGTTATCTTTATTGAGGTATTTTTTTGGGGGTGGAAGGGTTAAACCTCCTCTGGGACACAGTAAGAAGCTCAGAATGCTATTGCATAGACTGGAAAAACTATTTTCAGAGTGATTGATGTCCTAATAACATGAACCCTCTTTATTTCATTCAAACTTAACAAACTTTATTGGCATTGCAGAATAAAACACATGTCCATAGTAGATATAAAGGAAATAGGAATGTGTCAGGTTTTACATTATGGCAATATTTTAAAATGTACTTTTCACTGTTGGTGAATGAATATAGTTATATATTGTATAGTATACAGTAAAACTTTAGTGGTTTCAACTTTAAACTATTCTCCTTCCAGCTGGTACTCAGCATAACCCCCTCCCCCCTTGTTCACTCTTTCAAATCACTGTAAGATCCTTTTAGGGAATCTTCCTGGCTCTTGATCAGTGGCTTCCTGCAGACTCTCTAGTTTAAAATATGTGCAGGTTGGGTTATACACAAGTATGGAAGTGAGTCATTACTCTATGGGCAAATTATATGAGGTCAATCACAGTATAATTGTATATAGCTTTATTTTACAACTACACTGGCTTTCCTGCAAACATAATAGAAGGAAACATTTTGTGAACAAAATACATTTTTGTATAATGGATTTAGACTTGTTTTCACAGTATAAAAATACATATATTTACATTGTATTCTATGTATGACATTTCCGTGCATATGCTGTATGTTCAATATTGATAGTCTTAGCAAAAGAAACGACATTGTATATTAAGTGTATATTAAAGTAAACTTTGCCTGCATAAGTCTGCAAATAAACAAGGTTCTCAAAGTCTAAACCAGTACTCGTGTGAGAGAAAAACATGTAATCGTGCCTACAATAAAATGTAAAGTACCTAGCAATTAACTTCATTAGAGGTACAATGTATAACAGCCAAATGCTGCTATGAAACCCCATTCGAGTTATTTACTGTGGTTAATTCAAAGTGAATTTCTAAATTTAATCAAAAATGGTCGAATTAGAAACATTGCTTGTCAGCTATGTTTTCATTTCAATTATGTGACCTAAAGTTTTCAATTCTCTTGGAATTCACTTTTAAAGAGATCCTTTCACCAAAAATCAATCTAATTTGCTTCTATATAACTCCCTGTGTCAGGATACCTATTATTTTTAACTGGAGCTCTTCTTTATATAAAATATATTAGTAGGGACTAATTTTCCTTATGAACAGCAGTCAAGTTGAAAAAACCTGGAAATGTGTGGGGCCTATGTCAAGCTCCACTAACATTGTCAAATTATGTTTTCCCATAAGTCTATGGACTTTACATTGTGTTACTGGAGATTTTTAGGATTTGTTTCATTGGTATGCCTGGGAAAATTTTGTACAACACTTAGTAAATAAGCCTGTAAGTGTAAGAGATACGCTAGTCCCTTCGCTTTATATATTTGAAGGTTCATACAGATGTGTTCAAGAATTAAAATAGTTTTCAAATTATTAAGGCATTTCTGCCTAAATATTATATTTTCACTGAAGTGTGCAGTACAAAAACTGCCCACAAAATATTGCAACAAAATTGGACTGGGTATGTTTAAAAATCAGACTGTTGCTAATGGCCGTGGAACAGCTGATTGAGCATACCCTCTAGAATGTAAGCTCATTGAGCAGGGCCCTCCACCTCTCTGTTCCTGTACGTTGAGTTGTCTGGTTACAATTAAATGTCTGTTAGTCCACCCTTTGTACAGCGCTACGGAATCTGATGGTGCTATATAAATAATAAAATAATAATAATAATAATAATATGAATGATCACTGTGCATACAGACAATGGCAAAATATATGCACAAAACAAACAAAATTGCCCAAGGCTCAATTTTTCTGTGAAAATCTGAACAATAACCTATCAAACCCTAGAAACTTTTGGAAAGTCATAAATTAATTACAAACTCCCCCAATCCACTCACAACCCTCCACTGTCAAAGTGGATAACCAAACCCTGCAACTTCCCTTAGATGTATCAAATGCCTTTAGCAATTATTTTGTCGGATGCTCTACTGCCCTGATTGCCAAGCTAATAAATGACACGCATCCTGAAACTACAAATGTGGATCAGGCCCCACTAAATTTGCAAAGGCCCAATATAGACAAGTTCATTTTTAGACCTGTACCTATTAGTCTCATTAAAAAAAACACCGTAATAATCTAAAAATGAAAAACTAGTCTGGACTTGATCAAATCCCAGAAATGCTGTTGAAGCTCAGTGCGCTGGCAAATGCTAAACCCATCACAACCCTAATTAACAAATCCTTGGTGTCTGGATCCATATCCAAACTTTGGAAGACTGCGAGAGTAGTACCTATCCATAAAAGTGGTGACACTACTTTGGTTTCCTACTATCGCCCAATATCATTGGTCCCAGTATTGTCAAAAATCTTAGAAAAATGCATCCATACGCAACTATGTGAGTATTACCAACAATCAAACTATCTGACCCCTGACCAATCGGGCTTTCACCAGAATCACTCCACTACAACTGCCCTCTTAAAAGTTTGCCATGACATCCAAACTGGCATGGAACAAGGAGACCTAACTGGAGCTATTTTCCTTGATTTTGCAAAGGCCTTTGACACAGTAGACCACGACATTCCACTGCACAAACTCAAATAACTCAGGTATTGGTGATTATCCGTTAACCTGGTTTCGATCATATGTATCGGATCGCTCGCAATATGTGTCCATTTCTGACAGCGACTCCCTCCCAGTCACGTGTGGTGTTCCCCAAGGTTCCATTCTTGGCTCCCTACTATTTACATTATTTATAAATGATCTGCCTAATGTCTGCAAATCCTCAAATGTACACATGTACGCAGACGACACAGTAATCTATGCGAGCAAATCCGATCTACCGCAACTTGAGGCTGTGCTCCAAGACCAGTTTACAGAGGTAGAAAAGTGGGTCGCAAAAAACAAACTCTTCCTAAACACTGACAAAACTTTCACAATGATCTTTGGAACAGTACCTAAATTACACAAATTACACGATTCCCACCTATCCATCAAAACAAATTCAAATAGCACACTGACCGCATTCCACTTTTTCAAATACTTGGGTATGTTGTTAGACCCTAATCTATCTTTTGGCATCCACATAGAAAAACTTGCATTTAAACTTAATCCAAAACTAGGTGCCCTGTACAGAAACAAATCCTGCCTAAGCCCTACAGTAAAGGAAAAGATTGTAAAGCAAATGCTGATGCCAACCATTGATTTTGGGGATGTAGTATATGCACCTGCACCGCAATCCCACATTAATAAACTCAATAAATTGTATAACTCGTTCTGCTGATTTGTGCTACAATGTAATTACAGGACCCACCATTTTGACATACTAAAAGAACTAAACTGGCTGTCACTGTAATTAATTCCAGCCTTGTATTTAAGAGCTATTCTGGGAAACTCTCACCCTACCTGAGCAAAATGCTCTCCTCGGCGGATCCCACCTCCTATAACCTCCGATCCAGTACCAGCACTTTATTTAGTCTACCTCAATACCAAAAGAAAGCAGCCCGATCCTCCTTCTCATACAGAGTGCTGCAATTGTGGAACGACCTCCCGCACACTTGAAAATCTTTCCCAAGCCTAAAGTCCTTTAAGAAATCCCTCTCTACATATATTTTAAAACAGAATGCACGTGTCATGGTTGATTATATATTTCCTACCTGTTCTATGTTAAATTTTGTATATATTGTGTATTAATATTGTTTTTTTATTTTATTGTACCATAATGTATCAATGCAATGTTTTGTGGACCCAGGACATACTTGAAAACGAGAGAAATCTCAATGTATCTTTCCTAGTAAACTATTTTATAAATAATAACAAAGTGAAAAAAGTGAAAGTGAAACAAACACAATATTGTTCTGATATTTGTGATTATAACTTAATTTATTGATAGTAAATGTTTATTAACTATCTTATCCCACTTTCAATATGGAGCCCATTCAGCAAAGTATGCACCTGCGAAGAGGCACATGTCCTGTAGGCTTCTCCTGTTTTCATTACTTATAAGGTGCCTTTTTGAAAAAAAATTGGTCTAGAAGAGAAAAATAAGTACCAGGAGCCTTGGCCAGTGTCCTTGGTAGTCCAGTAACCAGCAGAAACCGTTATAAGGGTATAAAACTCTGTATTATCTCATCCAGTGTCTGTCTGAGGATGGACAGGAAGTGGGAGGGAACATTTCTTATCTGCCCACTAACAGCCTCTTACACAGGAGGAGCAGGGACAGCACTGAGTGATGAACACTGTATATCAGCTCCTGCAGCTCTACTTTTATTCATAGGTGGATGACTGGACTTGAGAAGACATAGAGGTGAGTACTTTAAAAATAACCCTTCAATTGCCCTTAACAGCCATTTTCCCTAATCCTGCAAACCCTCCAAAACCAAAACATTTTTTTTTTTATTTCCTGGGTCCCAAGTGTAAGCACTCAAAGCCTAAACTTAAAAAAAGAAAAAAAAAAAAACTTTACCCTAATCCTAGGTTTAATATTATAAACATGATCTTTAACTCTGAATGCATTTATATAGCAGCACATGCTCACTGTGTTTTTCACAGTTTCAAACATACATTGCAATCAGAAATGGGCACATACAGTACATTCAGAAACTATTCAGACCGTCTTAAAAAAGAAAAAAAAATTATGTATGCTACATTTGTTTAAATTATTTTTTTACATCAGTCTACATTCATTACCTCACAATGACAAAGCAAAAACCAGATTTTTGAAAACTTTGCAAATTTATTAAAAAGAAAAAGCTGACCTATCACATTGACTTAAGTATTCAGACCCTTTGCTATGGCTTTTGAAATTTGGCTCAGATGCATCCCATTTCTCTGGGTCATCTTTAAATAGTTTCTACACTTTGACTGGAGTCCACCTGTGGCATATTAAATTGATTGCACTTCATTTACAAAGGCCCACAGCTGTCTATGTATAAGGCTCACAGCTGTAAATGCAAATTAGTGGAAAAAACAAATCATGAGGCCAAAAGAACTGCCCGTATTGCTCAGAGACAGGACTGTGTCAAGGCACAGATCTGGGGAAGGTAAAAAAAATGTTTGGCAGCATTGAAGTTTCCCAAGGGCATGGTTACCTTCATAATTCTTAAAGGACCACTATAGTGCCAGGAAAACATACTCGTTTTCCTGGCACTATAGTGCCCTGAGGGTGCCCCTACCCCCTCCTGCCCGGCTCTGGAAAGGGGAAAAGGGGTTAAACGTACCTTTTTCCAGCGCTGGGCAGGGAGCTCTCCTCCTCCGTTCCTCCTCCTGGGCTGAATGCGCACGTGCGGCAAAAGCTGCACGCGCATTCAGCCGGTCACATAGGAAATCATTCATAATGCTTTCCTATGGACGCTTGCGGGCTCTCACTGTGAAAATCAGTGAGAAGCACGCAAGCGCCTCTAGTGGCTGTCAATGAGACAGCCACTAGAGGAAATAGGGGAAGGCTTAACCCATTCATAAACATAGCAGTTTCTGTGAAACTGCTATGTTTATGAAAAAATGGGTTAACCCTAGCTGGACCTGGCACCCAGACCACTTCATTAAGCTGAAGTGGTCTGGGTGCCTAGAGTGGTCCTTTAAAGGAACACTATAATGTAGTAGATCACTTCATCTCAATGAAGTGGTTTGGGTGCAGTGATTCTGTTATTTTTTACCCTGCAATGTAAAATACCGCAGTTTTTGTAGAAATTGCAAAGCTTACATTGCAGGTTAAATGCACCTATAGTGACTGTCATCCAAATAGCCACTGCATGCACTCCCCCTCCAGACCAAGCAAATTTAGATCGGGGAATCAAATACTGCTGGTATACTTATGCCTTTTTTATAATTAGAGCTGATACAATTGCATGCCACCCAAGCGTCCCCATTTAGAAGGGACAATCCCTATTTTGGGCCCTGTCACGTGCGTGGGCTATAGGCCCAGCCGAGACAGTGGGGAGAGTGTGGAAGTGACAGGGTTAATGACACCAGACCCCTGGTTACCTGTTGCTAGTCCCAGCAACCACTCAATTAACCCCTGCAATCCCTTCTACACTATCCCCCTTAGTACTACTGCCACCACCAAGACTTTTAAACCCGGGCGTCTTAGGTTACCCCACACACAGGAGAATTATAGTATCACAGTTCTACTTTTACTGATAAAACATATATAGTTAACCCCTTTTGGTAACGTGTTTACCTGAGCTTTCCTCTGGAGAGTGAAGCTCATAGAGAACAGAGACACAAGCTGATTAAGTAAACATTTAATCTGACAAAAAGGATTCACAGTGCTGAGTACAAAATACAGAAATAAATGACATACAGATAACAAATTGCAAAACAGTACATAAAATAAAATAGGAGAAAACACAAGAAATTCCTTACATATATTTACCCCATATAGAATTCTTGTGGGAGTCTTAGATGGTATAGGTCTCCTAGAAGTTACTGACAAAAGAAAAATGAATAACTGACTCCCTGGATAGTCCAACACCCTCATATATCTAAACTAGTTGTTTCTCAGTGGGCAGACCCCTGGGGGGGATCAGAGGGGGCTGGTCTGGCAGTCTATTGCCCACTCTATGAAATTCCTTGTGTCCAGCTCTGGTGATGGCTATCTAGATGTTTTATGGTCTAGGCCTGGTGCAAGATCAAAGACCACAATAAATGTCATCCCAAGGTTTACAAAAAAACTACTCTTAACATATATAAACACACATCAAACACCAACTCATGCTTTTGGCATGACACCTCCCCCTTAAGATGGTGGACAGAAAAATTCAGCCACAGGCTGATTTATCTGTCTACCATTAACCCTCTAGTTGCCGAGACAGGCCATCTGCCCTTTTTGTGCTGGGCAGTGAAATTATACTGTTGGAGGATAGGGCTCCAATGGAGCAGTTTATCAGTGTTACCTGTCACCTGCAGCAGGTTGTGATCAGTCCAAACCACAGCTACATCCTCAAACATGCCTGATTTGCCTGTTTCAATTCCCCATCGATCTCTGGTAACATCCCTTAAACCACACCCACTGCGCTCATGTAGTAGTTGTAAGGGGAAGAAACCAATGGATTTCTGCAGCACTCCCCGGTAAGCACACAAAAAAGCAGACAGAGAACACTCCCAGGATAGATGTGCTGTATCAACATCCATCATCTCTTTCATTTTGCGGTCTGTCTGCTGGGCTTGTTGCACTATCAGACTCTGAACCTTTGGTTCACAATCAGAAAGTTGCTTAGGTGTATGCGTGAGTTGTGATAAACTGACAAGGTTCCTGGTTCCTCCAACAGTATGTTTCCCTGCAGCCATCCTTCCTGGACCCACAGGCTGAGTCTGTCCGTGCCCCTCACTTTCACTCCAGGTCATCACACATACCGAACTTTGGAAACTGGCTAAGCCTGCCGCAGAGTAAAGCTCACACACCCTCTGCCCTCCCTCATAGCCTTGCTGTCCCTTCACATTTTCACCCACCACATCACATACATCTGCTTTAGGCACATATTGGCACATATATTCCTTCAGGCCACTCTCGCTGGAAGGCTTTTCCCATACATTTTCACAGGACACATTTGACCCCCCTTGATCAGATACAGAATTTTGCACACACTCACATAATTTCTTCTCCAAGGCAGGCCATCCTCTCGCAATCTCACATAGCCCCTCAGACTGTCCTGCTGCAGCCCTGACCCACTGCTGACTTGTTACCACTGCGACTAGTGGTACACATCCCTGGCTCTCACCTTCCTCCTCCCCCTTACTCTCTGACATCCCAGCCTCACAGTATTTTGATACAGGCACATCACTACTCACCCCTATCTCACATTTGGTAGACATTACTGGTTCAGTTACAGGTAGATATTTATCCACACCCTGCTCTCCCTCCCAGCAATCACACTCCACAATGTCTCCCAAAGTTTCACACACCTTAGGTGGAGCAGTCAGCCCCTCTGGCTTACAAACAGTGTCCTCTGGAGCATAGTGACAGAGCATCCTGCCCAAATCATTCCCCAACAGAACATTAACAGGGATATCCTCCGAAATCCCCACTTCCCGCAAACCTTTGCCCACACCCCAATCAAGGTACACACGTGCCAAGGGCACAGCGGGACGCACACCCCCAATTCCTTTGATGGACATGGTTCTTCCAGGGATTATGTCCTCCGTATTCACCACTTCAGGGCGCACCAGGGTGAAGGAAGCTCCAGAATCTCTCAGTCCCATGGTCACTCGGTCACCCACAATTACACTCTGCAGGTTATCCTCTCGTTTCCCCACGGACCCACCCACAAGCAATACTGATGGTGCCCCTCCACGGACTGTTGAGGGCATATTCCTAGTGGGGCAAGTCCTGCTCAGATGACCAATCTGGTTGCATCGAAAAAAACGGCGGGCATCTGACTCACTTGACATAGCCCCGGCTACGCTGGCAGTCGGCGGTGAAGTTCTCACTGCAGATCTTACAGGTGGTGATTGAACTGTAGCTTCTCTCCAGGTCGAAGTAGCAGCTGTCACAAGTCCACGCCTGGATGTGGGTGCATGGATGTCGGCATAGTCATCTGCCAGTTCTGCAGCAGCCCTAGCATTTTTTGGCTTTCTTTCCAAAATCCACTCTCGTACATTAGGGCTCCGGGTCTGCAAGAACTGCTCTAGGACCAGTAAGTCATTAAGGGCTTCATAGGTAGTAGCTTGTACTCCTGTTACCCATTGCCAAAACGTGGTTTCTAATTGTGCAACATATAGAATGCAGCTGGATGATGGGCATTGCTGCATACTCCTAAACTTTTTCCTGTAAGACTCAGGAGTAAGGTTAAAAGTTTTTTGCAATGCAGATTTGATTGCGTCATAGTTGTTATCAGTCTCTGGGGGAAGGGACACAAACACATCCAAGGCTTTCCCTTTCAATTGTGGAGTTAAATATCTGCCCCACTGGTCTGAGGGTAGTTGATGCTGCCTGCATACTTTCTCAAAACTTTTTAAAAATACATCCAAATCTGTCCCTTCTTCGAGGGAAGGAAAATCATCCTTACGGAGCCTACGTGTGCTGGACTCTGATGCATTGCTGTTCAGTGAGGACTGAAGGGTAAATTGCAGTTTGGCAAGTTCCAGCTCATGTCTCCTTTGTGCCTCCCTTTCGGCTAGCCTCTCTGCAGATTCCCTTTCTGCAGCCTGCTGTTGGATCATCACATGCAGGGCCTCCTGAGGATTTGCAGCCATCAGTTGCCGAAATAAATCAGTTGAGCAAATGTCCTTAATGTTTTGAGGGGTACAACCACCAGGAATTTCAGTAAGCAACACTCCTGCAGTAGTAGGGAGCTCGGTAACCCTTTCAGTATCCGTCTCTGGCTGGAAAATATGGCTGTCAGCCTCCACAAGGTCAGCAATAAGTTGTGCCTTATTTTTGCCAAAAGTTGGTAAATTATTTTCTTGGCACAACAATTCCAAGGCCTCTTTTGATTGTTTGCGATAGGCCTCCATATTCACAAATAGGATAGAGAAAGAAAAACAAAAGATGGGAGGGGAGAACTGTTTTGCACTTTGTATGTATTTTAAATCAGCACTGAGCTTGGTCTCTGGAAATTACACAAAAACAAGTATGCAATTTCTTTTAGTGCTAAGACCCCCTTTACAGGTAAAATCTAGCAAGCACTAAAAATCTCTAAATATATCCCACTAGCTGCCGCCAGTTTGTCACGTGCGTGGGCTATAGGCCCAGCCGAGACAGTGGGGAGAGTGTGGAAGTGACAGGGTTAATGACACCAGACCCCTGGTTACCTGTTGCTAGTCCCAGCAACCACTCAATTAACCCCTGCAATCCCTTCTACACTATCCCCCTTAGTACTACTGACCCCATATAGAATTCTTGTGGGAGTCTTAGATGGTATAGATCTCCTAGAAGTTACTGACAAAAGAAAAATGAATAACTGACTTCCCTGGATAGTCCAACACCCTCATATATCTAAACTAGTTGTTTCTCAGTGGGCAGACCCCTGGGGGGGGATCAGAGGGGGCTGGTCTGGCAGTCTATTGCCCACTCTATGAAATTCCTTGTGTCCAGCTCTGGTGATGGCTATCTAGATGTTTTATGGTCTAGGCCTGGTGCAAGATCAAAGACCACAATAAATGTCATCCCAAGGTTTACAAAAAAAACTACTCTTAACATATATAAACACACATCAAACACCAACTCATGCTTTTGGCATGACAGGCCCAAATCCTTTTTTTTCCATCTTAATGTCCCTTGTTTGTAGGGGCTCCATTTGTTGGTGTCTAAGAGTGTATAACAGAGTTCTGAAGCAATAATATTCACAGTAATGTGTCTTTATACTGCAATTAATGTGTTTAGAAATCATATTGTTCTAAATTACATTTCAATCACATAAATTGCTATAAGTAAGCCACCTAAAATATCCCAAAAATGCTCTGCCCCTGACCACACCCCCATTAACACTTTTACAATGAACGTATGTCTCTTTGACAAGTTGAAATGTGTGTAATTAGGCCGTCAGGCACCCTGTGTAAAGCATTGGAGTGCATTATTATTGGTTATCTTTAAATTTTTCTAGTTGTAAAAGCAACTTATAATATAAATTTGTAAATCTCTCACAAACACACAGCTAAAAGTACCTGCATACCATTGGCTATTTAAATAAATAATACAAGTTGGTGTGTATGCAGGTTTCTGACTGTAGAACCATTGTAAATGCATGTTAATGTCGCTGTGTGCAATGCAATTGTGTTTATGTGAAGTATCAGTGTGTATCAGAGTTTGTGTGTGTACCGGCAGTGAATGTTATCGTTTCTAATTGAGTGTACTGTCTGTATGTGTGTATGTTGATGTTCCTCTATGTGTGTGCATTGTCAATATGTGTTTGTGGTTGTTTCTTTGTGTGCTTGTTTCTGCGTGTGTGATGTCAACATATGTGTTTGTGTGAATACTCTGCCCAGAACAACCCCTCTAATTACCTACTTCCTTGTAATTTAGTTCCGTTATTCCAATGCCACATATGCCCAATATAAACTACCTGTATACCCCTTTCAATTTTACCATCCAGCTCACACAATTCTTCCTCCATCTACATCGTCCTGCATATGCAGCCAGCTCCGCATACAACCTCCTTCATTTGTAGACTCTCTATTTACAGCCTTCTTCCTATACACCTCCCTGCATACACAGCCCCCTTTAACACACCTCTCTACATATGTTTATATAATAATAATAATAATAATAACAACAAAGTATTTAACTGGGAAAGGTACGTTCAGATTGCTCTGGTTTCTGGGGACATTCCCCATTCCCCTTTAGAATACCAGAGGCCTGGTGGCACAGTGGCTGAAACAGCAAGTGCAAGCATTTACCTGCCATTACTTCACTGTGCTCATTGAGGGAGATTTATCAAAATGTTACCAACAATGGTTTAGCCCACTTTTTTTCCCACCTGTTGCTTGTCTTGCAACCTAACCATCATTTTTGAATATATGCCATTCTTTGTGATTTATAGAAGGCAGCTAAAGCAACCCAAACAAGAGTCTCTGCTCCATATCTTTGCAAAGATATATCAGAAAATATTTTATAATTTTTAGAGTGAGAATTTTGTGAATTCCTTTAAAAAGATGACACTCATTAAAATATATATATATATATTTTAAAAGGCTATTTTTGTTTACTCAGCAACAAACAAAGGTAATAAATAAAAAGTATTTTTAATACATTCATATAGCAAAATCATTATTACTTTTGCACCCCAGGGTGTTTTATGGATCTCTGTATTAGCCCACGGATTACAAAGCATTTTTTTCCTGCAACACTCACCCACACAACATCTCTACAACCCTTCATTCGTCAACTCCCTGGAATGAAACAGATGTCTTGTAGTACAAACCTGATATTTCAGAACAGCTGAGTGTGAAAGACAAGCACACAAAACCAACTAGCAAATCAAATTAAATATTTAAAGCTGCTATTGTACACATCCACAGTGTCTTCCATCTCTTATACAAATGTACCCCCTCTTACTATGACCTGAAAAATATTATGCACTATATATAGAGCTTTTGTAAATTGTTTGTGCAATTATTTTACGAAAGGTATAGATGATTTAAAGTTATGAGGGAGAACATTTAACAATCTTGGTTTAATAAACTGCCTCACAGAGTGGTTTGGTTGCTGAACTGTATTGTCAAAGTGTAACCAGGAAATGTAATGCTAGATTTGAGCAAATAAAAACAGTGGCCATAAAACACAAATTCATTTGAGACATCTTTCTTCATTTGTTATGTACTATACAATACAAATATATATGGGGTGTGCACTAAAGTGTGAGATGTGAGAATTTCAAAGGGAATTTGAATGCAGATCAAAATACTTGTATTAAATTTTTTTTTTTTTTTTCAATTGGCTATTTTGGCTAAAAATGTGAAATTCTTTTTAAATTAACTTTGTGTTACCAGCAATTCACACTTTAATAAATAACCCTTACAATATATTTTACAATTATTTTGTATTATCAAATATTAAAGAACATTGCAAGCACCAAAAGCAGTTTAGCAGCACATAATTAACTTTATAAGTATTACACACTATGTTTGGCAAGCATTACCACTACACGCTACCACTGTTCAAACAAATGCTTCTGGGAGCAACAGAGAAGAGGAAGCTGAACCTGTGCCTGGTGACTCTTAAAGGGACACTATAGACTGCCAGACCACTGCAGCTCACCAGAGGCGCTTCTAAGTTTAGCGGACTGTAAGTCGCCTAACTGACACTGGATTTCCTCACGTAATATATCAAACAGTAGAATCCCTACAGGAAAGCATTGATTGAATGCTTTCCTATGAAGAGGGTTTCATGCGCTAGCAGCTCATCCAACACATGCGCATTAGGTCCCCCGTCGGATGATGTAGGAGAAGGCAGAGCCTCGACCTAGCACCGAGGGACATTAGCGCTGGAATCGGGTGAGAAAATGTAATATTTTTAACCCTTTATGTTCCACAGAGGGGTGAGGGGCCCAAGGAAGGTGGGGACTAAGGGGCACTATAGTGTTAGGAATACAGGTTTGTATTCCTAACACTATATAATCCCTTGAAGTGTTAAACCATTAAAAAACAATTCAACACTTGAAGGTAAGAATGCAGGAGTGGACTCAAGGCACCATATCCATTTCACTGACATGTTCTTTCAACTTTATATACAACATAATCTCTATAATCTCACACCCACCTAAGTATGGGTTGATAGAGTGAGGTTATGTGAATTATAAATGTCAGTCTAATTCTATAAAAAATTTTGTATCTGTTGTATTTGCCATTAGGAAGTTATGGTGACCCCAGATTAGTATGTGGGACAGTCAATATTTGGATGCCTCCTATTTCAGCAGTCATAGTAGTCCAGCTTTAGATTCAAATGTGTTGATGTATTAGTCATCATTATATAATATATATATCACTGGGCACTGCAGCTCCTGACATTACGTCCTGCTAACTCCCCCATGTAGGCTGACTGTATAATTTCTACATGGAAGAGAAGCTGAAGCTGGTTCAACAGGGATCTATTTTTAAACCATAAGTGGAAAAATATTTTCTCCATACAACTTTGCTGTGTTCTAGTGCATATGGAAATTGTACCTGAAAAGACTTACTTCACAAGATGATCTCTGCTCTGAGTAGGCTGTTCTGAGACAGGTTTCATGAAAAGAGCAGTCATTTCTTACACACCTACTACAATGCTCAGGCAACTAAGAAATAAATATTGCAAATGTGCCTTTAATACAGCGACCACAGTGTGACCTGGTAAGGTGACCGGGCTTTTGTCATGACCATGCTCAGAAGCAGATAAAATGTATCTGTGATCCCAAGAAAGTACAGAAAAATATATGACAGTATCGATTACACTGAAATAGAAAACATATCTAGTTATAAATAAATGACACTATAATACTGATACATAGATGTTTCATCTCTAGTGTCTGATTTTATTTAAGTATGCTTTCTGGATATGTCTTTATTTCTCCACTATAAAACATAAGGAGGGGGTTTTATGCTGCCATTAAAAAGTATATCCTAAAAGTATGCATTGCTGCATGAGCTGTATCTATGCAGAGAAATGTATGGGGGGGTTTAAGCAGAGAGTTGTGGGACGTTGATATTAGAATTGCAAATATAGGATGGCTGGAAAAACGAACTAAATGGGGATTTTGTTTTCATTGAGCTATTTTGACCTAAATTGTGTTATTCTATTTTCAAAACATGTTACTAGAGGCCATCTGGTCAAATGGTGAATTTGTATGCAATACATGAACATTTACAAGTACTCACATATACTTTCAACATTCCAGGATTTAGAAACATTTAGGCCTCCTGCCATGCCTGTGTTTGTTCCCTGATTGTCGGCTTGTGTAGAAGCTAGAGGTGGCTTGTGAAGCACAGTGTGAAGACATCATTAGGTATATTCTGTCTGTACAGTCCTTGTTAGAGAGGAGGGTTCTACCTACAGGCAGCCCACACACCGGGCAGTCCCACTGAACATTGTGCCTTGGTCATGACCCGTTTTCACCTGTTCCACATTCATATCTTTCAATGTTGGGAGACATAAACAGAGGAGTACGCAGGACAGTTGGCACCTGGGCCGACTTGGTCTGCTATCACCCACCTGTTTTAAATAATAAATGTGACACTCCATGACTTTCATTTCTCTCTTTATCTTTGCAGGTGTCACTCATACATCTATTCACCCCCCATGTTCTCTTCATCTTTGGGTGATTTATTTTATTGGCCGTACCATATTTCACATTATACACACACAATGATTTTAGTGCTGGCTGGAAGGAGCAAATTCTTATTTACAAAGATAGTGATATGCTGCTGTGACATCTGCCACGTTATACTAGTCTACCTATTACAAGATGGTAATACAATGTTTCTCTGTGTCAAACACCTATTATTGAATATTGCTACACTATGGGGAATTCATATGACATTAGGAGCTGTTCATATAATATACCATGCCTGAAGATGTTAATCCATTAAAATCATATTCTTCAAATGGAATATTGTATAATATTGACCTTGTTGAATACTGTTATATTCAGAGTGTGTTCTAGATCAGTTTCCTTTCCCTATAGTACACATTGGTGTGTTGCTGGTTGAACCAGTTTAATTTGAAGCTTAATTGTTACCTAAAATTTTACATTTTGATAGTGTTATGGTATATTTTGAATGAAAACTTGATGCAAGCAATTTATTTGCTGTTAATATGTGCTAATAATACAAGAAAAAAACAAAACAATTTCTTAAAGCCCAGTTCTCAAAGATCAGTAGTTTAGAAATTGTGATGCATTCACTTGTGTTAAAAAATTACATTTATTTGGTATACCACACTACATATTCCAAATTAATATTTGTACTAATTTGACACTGCCTAAATAACACCCTTTCCTGTCCACTATACAGATCTATTTTGGTTGCCTCTTATGGGTGAAGATAAAGATTATTAAAATCTTTATACGACCCTGACTATTACTAGAATAAAAATCTGTATTGTGTGATTCACATTTAAATGTTTATTAGTAGTTGATATTTAGCTGGCATAAGTGTTAAGTAATGGTTTAATTACTTAAATGAGTAATCAATTTTCAAAAACATAAATTAAAAAATACAGTACATAACTGAATGTCATTTATAAATAAATAATTAACTATTCAGAGCAAATAACATTTGAAATATTATACAGAAAATGTTGAATCTTATATTTAGGTGTAATGATACTGGGTTATTGTTATGAGATAGTAATACACGATAATACTGTATACGGTATTGTATGTAGAACACAAACATATATAGCTTTAGGAAAGTAAGAAATTGATAAACACTCTAGTGAAGGAGATAAGGGTAATGAATAGAGGTTGTGGAGGGGCTTGGGTATAGATGGATGCTCTAACATTGACAATTTTAATAGAAAAATCAGATGTTCTGATGCAGTAATTGGAGATGTGGTGATGAAGAACAGAGGGGAATGATCTAGCTCGTAATCCAGGGTGAATAAGGGTTGCAGTGAGTGAGGGGAGAAAACGTTAAATGATGAATTGCAGAAGCTTTTTTTTGCTAGCACTGAGTTAGGATATGATATCTTGGATGAAGAGATTTAGACAGGGGTTCTCAACCCAGTCCTCAGGACCCCCTACCAGTCCAGGATTTGGGGATTACCTGGGTGTGTATCGGGTGTTTAGAAAAAGGGAAAAAAACACCTTAGACTCTAAGGTGTTTTTTTTTTCTTTTTCTAAACACCTTAGACACACCCAGGTAATCCCCAAATCCTGGACTGGTAGGGGGTCCTGAGGACTAACGTTGAGAACCCCTGATTTAGAGGAAGGGACTGCAGAGTCAAAAATACTTCAAGGGAAGGGGCAGGGCAAAAGTCAAGGATGTGGCAGTGATTAGTGAAAGAGAGGAGTATTCTGGGAAAGATATCTTAGAATAGAGAAGCTTGGGTGAAATAAAATCACAACCTAAACTAAGGATAGAATAAAGCATATCACTATTAATGTGGGGTAGATTAGGTCTGAGACAAGCCATAGTAGGAAATGAGTGGGAGGGAATTGGTTGTAGTAGAGAGTTATTGTTAAAGTGTAAATTTAAAGGGACTCTATAGTCACCCAAACAACTTAGCTTAATGAAGCAGTTTTGGTGTATAGATCATGCCTCTGAAGTTGCACTGGTCAATTCACTGTCATTTAGGAGTTAAAACACTTTTGTTTCTGTCCATGCAGCCCTATCCACACCTCCCCTGACTGTGACTGACACATTCTGCATAACAAAAAAAAAAAATAGTTTCATTTTCATTTAGATGTTTATCTCCTGCTCTGTAAATTGAACTTTAATTACATACAGGAGGATCATGCAGGGCATAGCAAACTATTAACAGAGCAGGAGATAAGAAATTCTAAATTAAACAGTATTTGCAGTAAATAAGTATAATCAATAAATGACTGAAATATTTAGGAAGGCTGTGTAAGTCACATGCAGGGAGGTGTGACTAGGGCTGCATAAACAAATTGATTTCACCTCTAAATGGCAGAGAATTGAGCAGTGATGCTGCAGGGGCATGATCTATACACCAAAACTGCTTCATTAAGCTAAAGTTGTTTTGGTGCCTCTAGTGTCCCTTTAAGTTTCCAAGGATTACAAATGGCTTGGGCATAAGAGAGGTAGGGATAATGAGGTGAGAGGGAAAGAGTAAGATCTAAATTTTACAGGAAAGGGGCATGGTAGTTGGGTTTGGTGGACTATGTGACAAGACAAACCCAACAGCTGTATCCAGCTGGGTGGCGAGCGTAAGAGAAGGCAGTTCTGACCACCAGTTGTTTCAGTATATATGGGGAGTGTCCCTCTCTCTTTTATGGTCTTTAAATTGAAAGTAAAGGGATATTACTGATGTGTGGGATGGAGGAGATAATCCCTCTGATGGGAAATATTGAATGGTGCATAATAGCCTGGGTGATTTAGAATGTACACTAGCAGGGTATTAACTAAAGTGGTCATTGTTGGGAATTTAAACTTTAAGGCTAAAGTAGCTGAACTGGCAAAAATCTCCAAATCTGCTATGCTATGTTTAGCTATGATGGCCTTACATTTGAAATTCACGTTGAATTACCAGCAACTCTCACTGTAGTGAATAAACCTGTAGGGTAGATATTCAAAGATGATACATTTTGATATGAGTAAGGATGTACTAATTGTGATGATCTGAGAAATCACATTCGACAGTGGAAAGTTAATTCGTAAGTGATAGTGGATACATTTTGAGGAATATAGACATACAAACTCATAACAAACACGTACTGGCAATATAAAAATGGAGTGCAAGCCTATGGGGCTGTGTTAGCTCAATGAATGGTGTAATTGAAAGTAGGACTGCAACCCCTAAGAACCACACCCTTAGGACAGTTATAGGATACATTCATTTACATACTGTTAGCTATTTGCCTTTAGTTTATCAAGAAACATCAGAACAAAGTAATGTATACCAGTACACTGCAGATAAAGATCAAATAACCTTTTACTAGTATCAAGAACAACTTACAAGAAGGCCTTTAATAAATGATACTTAAGTCTAGTTTGTGTTAGTTTCTGAATAACAAATCACCACATTTTATTTTGCATCAGTTTGCTGTATCACAGAAAAGGAAATGGTAAATTCTGCATTTTCCCTTAGATCCGCTTATTGATGCATCAGCATCTTTAGCGTAACTATTAATAACTTTTACAAAATCAGCCAAGTTTGCACTGCATCTTAAAACGCTACAATTACATTTAAAAAAAGGAAAAAGCAAGTGAACAACCTGTATGCAAAATTGCAGTAACCCTATGCTTGATTTGCAATCAGATCCCGAATTATCTCTGAGTCTATGCAAGGACAGTGACACACCCAGTCCCTATCACAGTAAATTTAAATCTGCCATCCTGGCATGTAGTAAAATCTTTAATTCTGAGGTGAATAAAAAAACAAAAACGTATGGTTCTTTTTTCTAATGATCATAAATTAACAATTTACTCTTCTTAGTTGCCTGTAAATCAAGTATTGTTAGTTGAAGCATTAATTACACTATGGTATTATGTTTACTGCAACTCCAGCCAGCCCTAATGAGAGTTGTAGTCCGTTACGGCTGAAGAATGAGATTATCCATCTAGGTATAGCCATATATATATATATATATAGAGAGAGAAACACAGTTAACCTAATAAGGCTATACTTAATGAAAGAATTCCAAATAGGCAAAACAGGGTTTTTAAAGTCACCCAGTACACACACAATTATGGTTACAATCTATCATTTAAATAAAATACACTGTAAAGTGTAAACTGTAGTGAAAACCAAGTTGCAAAAAAACTGTACTGATATGAAAAAAAAATCCAGATCCATAACCTTGAGTTACTGGATTGGCTATTCTAGCCTAAATTTTGCAATTTGGTTTTCACTTTGGAATTTAGGGTTTAGTGAATAAATCCCAGATTAAGATTTTTACGTAGCCAGGCAAAGAGTTGTTCAGTTTAGTACATATGGAATTAGCAGAATTGAGCCACATGGAAAAGATTAGAGATTTTATGAATGCCCCTAATTTGTAGGCTGTGGGCCAGCGTCACGCACTATTGTGCATTCAGTGCCAGGAAGACAGGGGATATGATTGTAACTTACTTTTTTCGTCAAGTAGGTCACAGAAAGCGAATAGTTTCAAGGAGAGATGTGGCAGACCACTTGACGACTGCAGGATTCCTTATAGAGAAAACCTTTCACAGTCTCAGAGGAGAGGAGAAAAGAGACTGCCCTCCTATATTGCAGCAGCTGCTACCAGAGCCGTCAGCATGATGTCACAAGGCTGCAGCCCAGACTGCTCCTGATAGCTCTAAAGAGACTTATAAGGGGGGAGGGCCTGACTATACCCCTAGACACAGAGACACAGTAGGGCCTTGTGCCAAGGTGCTGCAGAAAATGGAAGGCATTGAGAGAAACACACAAAGCACACAAATCTACCATCATTGTATAATTATAATACATAAAGACTGATCACATTTTAATTATATTAAACACATTACCATAAGAATATACTCACCCAAAGAGTCCACTATGAAAAAATAAGAAAAGATTAAAAAATTTTGTCTCATTAAATATACCTTGGGAAACCCATAGAATTGAACCCCATAGAATACCTGTGGTGTGAACTAAAGAGGAGGGTCCACCAGTGTCAACCTTGAAATTTGAAAGACCTGGAGAGATTCTGTATGGAGGAATGGCCTCAGATCCCTTGCCATGTGTTGTCCAACATTCTCAAGCATTATAGAGGAAGCCTCAGAGCTGTTTTACTGGCAAAGGGAGGTAGCACAAAGTATTGACTAAAAGGGTGCCAGTAATTGTACCACATGTATTTAACAAATCTATATTTTTTTCGGTATTTTGTTGTGTTGCTCTGTTTTTTGTTGTGTTGTGTTTGCAATTGTTTGATATCCATGGAAGCAGAGTGTTTGTGTGTGTTTTTTGAACAATAGATCAAAGGTTAAACAATGAAGGCACTTTTTCATAGCCTTCTTTTGCTCATATTTGCCATGGTTGCCAATATTAGTGGAGGGCACTGTACTTTACAGAGTGACTTGTGAACAGAAAGAAACTGGGAAATAGAGCAACAAGACTGTTCCATTAGTTTCCATAGTGCTTGCTCTACTTTTAGAACTTTGTCCCAGAACTGAAGCATCAAAGTGCACCTGTCATGACAAATATACCATAATGCCACTTTACAGAGGATAGCACCTTTACCAGTGCATTTTAAACTCTTGAACTGAACCAAAATCTGTGTTTGCATGCAATTTACAGGGTTTTCAGTGGCTGGGAGAGGAATATGATATTTATCACCCCTCGTGTAACTGCTTACAATAAGATTGTTACTGTAGTAGCATTGACTTCCTCAGTGCAGTGGAGACTGCTCCTCCACCAACACTTGGAAGAGTCCAATGAACAAGTTATCTGAAATGTAATTAACCCCTTAGTGACCGTTGACGTATCAGGTACATCTGACAAAAAACGGTCCTTAAGGATGATACGTCCTATGGGAATTGGAGCGCTGGAAGCTCTGAATGTACTGAGTGTCCCGAGGGGTCGTAAAAAAAACAATTGTTAAAAAAAATAATATTTAAAAAAAAAAAAAATTAACTATCTACCCTCCTTCCCCATGTATTTACCGATCGCCGCTGTTCCCCCGCTGGCGATTGGTCTTCTTCTTAAGGGGACTGAGCCCAGAGAGTCTCCCCTCTGCAATTTAGGACCCCGAGGGGCCATGTGACCGCTCTAAAAGATACATACATACATACATACATACGTATTAAATGTGTGTGTGTGCATATATATACAGTTCCTTTCAAGAGTATTCACCCCCTTGCCATTTTTCGTGTTTTGTTGCATCACAACCTGGAATTAACATGGATTGTTTGAGAATTTGCATCATTTAATTTACAGAACATGCCCACAACTTTGAAGATTTTTTTATTTTATTTTTTTACTGTGAAGCAAACAACAAATAGGACAAAATAACAGAAAAAGTCAATGTGAATAACTATTCACCCCCTAAAGTCAATACTTTGTAGAGCCACCTTTTGCGGCAATCACAGCTCCAAGTCACTTTGGATAAGTCTCTATGAGCTTGTCACATCTTACCACTGGGATTTTTGCCCATTCCTCCTTGCAAAACTGCTCCAGCTCCTTCAAGTTGGATTGTTTGCGCTTGTGAACAGCAATCTTTAAGTCTGACCATAGATTTTCTATTGGATTGAGGTCTGGGCTTTGACTACGCCATTCCAACACATTTAAATTTTTCCCCTTAAACCACTCAAGTGTTGCTTTAGTAGTGTGTTTGGGGTCATTGTCCTGCTAGAAGGTGAACCTCAACTCACGCACAGAGTGGTACAGGTTTTGCTCAAGAATATCCCTGTATGTCGCACCATCCATCTTTCCCTGAACTCTGACCTGTTTCCCAGTCCCAGCTGCTGCTGAAAAACATCCCCACAGCATGATGCTGCCACCACCATGATGGTGTTCTTTGGGTGATGTGATGTGTTGGGGATGCACCAGACATAGCCTTTTCTTTGATGGCCGAAAAGTAAAATTTTAGTCTCAACAGACCAGAGCACCTTCCTTTTATACATTTTGGGAGTCTCCCACATGACTTTTCGCAAACTCAAAATGTGCCATTTTGTTTTTTGCTGAAAGTAATGGCTTTCTTCTGGCCACTTTGCCATAAAGCCCAACTCTATGGCAACTCTATATATATACACACACATACATACACACGTATTATATGTGTGTGTGCATTTATATGTATGTATACACACACACACGTATTATATATATATATATATATATATATATATATATATAATATAAATTGAAAAAAAAAATGTATAAAAAACAAAACAAAAATGCTAACTTTGGCCAGCGTTTGTGACTAAGTGGCTACAACAAAAGACTGGAAATACCCCATTTGGAATACCCTGGTTTGTCTACATATGAAAATGGTATGCCATGATAGGCAGGGGTCAAGTCCTGGGAAAGAAAGTGTGGGAACTCACCCAAGATCCACTGCCACCCCTCCCCCGGCTCCCCCCCATTACCCCCACAAAAAAATATATATTTTGCAGAAAATTCAGTGCAACATTAATTGTAAAGTGCCAGTTTACACAAACAACTGCAAAATTCACATGCAATAAACAAATATATATAAAACAGTTGGAACAAATTAACCCCTTAAGGACGGAGCCAAATGTACACGTTGTGAACAAAACAAAATGTAAACAAAACCTGGCATTTGCGCTACATGTCTGTCCAACTGTAATTCACCTCTTTCATATTAAATACACCCACCCTTATTATATATCATTTTATTCAGGGGAAACAGGGCTTTCATTTAATATCAAATATTTAGCTATGAAACATATTTTAATACGAAAAAAATGGGAGAAAATAATTTTTTTAGTTCTACATGACATTTTAACGGTCAATGTCATAATACTGTTTGCTTTTACAGCAATAAAATACACATATTTGTATTCAGCAAAGTCTCACGTGTAAAACAGTACCCCCTATGTACAGGTGTTATGGTGTTTTGGGAAGTTACAGGGTCAAATATAGCATGTTACATTTGAAATTGAAATTCGCCAGATTGGTTACGTTGCCTTTGGGACTTTATAGTAGCCCTGGAATGAAATTTACACCCATAATGGCATACCATTTGCAATAGTAGACAACCCAAGGTATTGCAAATGGGGTATGTCCAGTCTTTTTAGTAGCCATTTGGTCACAAACACTGGCCAAAGTTAGCGTTAGTATTTGTTTGTGTGTGAAAAATGCAAAAAACGCTGTTTGCAATACCTTGGGTTGTCTACTATTGCAAATGGTATGCCATCATAGGGGTAATTTTCATTCTTGGGCTACCATAGGGTCTCAAGGGCAACGTAACCAATCTGACAAATTTTAATGTGAAAAAAATGAAACGCAAGCCTTATATTTGACGCTGTAACTTTTGAAAACACCATAAAACCTGTACATGAGGGGTACTGTTGTACTCGGGAGACTTCGCTGAACACAAATATTTGTGTTTCAAAACAGTAAAAAGTATCACAGCAATAATATCGTCCGTGTAAGTGCTGTTTGTGCGTGAAAAATGCAAAAACTTCACTTTTACTGGCGATATTATCATTGTAATACATTTTACTGTTTTGAAACACTAATATTTGTGTTCAGCGAAGTCTCCCGAGTAGAACAGTACCCCACATGTACAGGTTTTATGGTGTCTTGGAAAGTTATAGGGTTAAATATAGTGCTAGCAAATTAAATTCCCTTTACTCTCGGCATGGGTTGTCAGGCAGGTCCCGCTAATTGTAATTAATTAAGATACCTAATTATGTAAAAATATTACATAAATATATATGTAGAATTAATATATATATATATATATATATATATATACGTATGTGAATCTATATGTGTATATATATAATTTTCAAAAAATATTTTTATTTATATATAGGTATATATATAGTGATATATACGTATATATTTATGTATGTAGATATATATATATTATTTCGTTCTACGTGTATTTTGATATATATATATATATATATATCACAATACAGTTAGAACGAAATAACACACATCTATATATTTTTTAATTATTTTTTTAATTATTTTTTAAATTTTATTTTTTAACGTATTTACATATTTAATTTTTTTATATTATATATAAATATATATATAACAATAATTATATATATATATATATATATATTTAATCAGTATCAGTCTATGTGTAATTTGATATTAATATATATATATAATTATATATATATATATTAATAGTAAAATACACCTAGACAGTATATGTGTGTGTATGTATATGTGTGTATATATATATATATATATACTTAGATCATATATATATATAATATATATATAGAATCTAAGTATATATTATTATTTTTTTTACACTTAGAAACTTTTATTAATTTTATTTGAATTCAGCCAGCAGGGGGACCACCTGTCATTACAGGCAGCCCCCCCTGCTGGCAATGCAGCAGGCAGCCTACCCGGCCATGTGATTGTGGGGTCCTCGCAAGGACCTCACTCTCACATGGCCGGGGGGGCTTCCAGGGGGTCGGACATGCCGCGGGGGGCTCCCTGGGAGTCGGGAAAGTATAGAAAGGCGTTTAGAGCCGCCTATAATAGGGCGTAATAGTACGCCCTCTGGTCTTAAGGGGTTAAATTAGCTATGCAATAAACAAATGAATATAGAACAGTTCTATATTAAATGGTGTTGTTTGTGAGGGAGTTAACTTGTTAGTCATACTAACAG